TCTCCTATAAAGGCAGCACACTCCATGCATCCCCCATACACTGTCCTATAAAGGCAGCACAGTCCATGCATTCCCTATACATTCTCCTATAAAGGCAGCACAGTCCATGTGTCCACCATACTTTCTCCTATAAGTGCAGCACACTCCATTTGTCCCCTAAGCACTCCTCTTTATACACAGCACAATTCATGCGTCCCCATACACTCTTCTATAAACACATCACATTCCTTGCATCCCCTATAATCTCCCCTATAATTGCAGCACACTCTATGCATCCTCATGCACTTTCCTATAAATGCAGCACACTCCATGTGTCTACCATACACTCTCCTATAAACACAGTACATTCCATGCATCTCCATACACTCTCCTATAAATGCAGCACACTCTATGCGTCCCTATACACTTTCCTATAAATGCAGCGCACTCCATGCGTCCCTATAAACTTTCCTATAAATGCAGCGCACTCCATGCGTCCCTATACCTCACTTTCCTATAAATGCAGCGCACTCCATGCGTCCCTATACACTTTCCTATAAATGCAGTGCGCTCCATGCGTCCCACATACACTTTACTATAAATGTAGTTCAATCCATGGATCTCCAATAAACTCTTCTATAAACACAGCACACTCCATGCTCTCAGTAGTCCACTATAATAGTTTTAAATAAAGCAACATCCACACATGGACACCCAACGCTAGAGGTGATTCATTCTTCCAAATCAAATACACTTTTTCACACTGGTCCTGACTAGTATTACAGTGTTTATCTCAGTTTTACTCCATCACTGAGGTAATGTGACCCCAGCACAGATGGAGAGGGGCAGGGGAGGGTCAAACTAGGATGCTGTGCAGGCAGCTGACATCCTCCTTATCAACTGATGTCATTGGAATTCAGGACACCAGTGGCTAGAATGTCGCACAATGAAAACCTGTGGCTTTGTGTAACTAAAAGTCAGGCTTCTTCCTCCCGCTGGCTTGTATAGAAGTTTTGTGCAACTTTTAGACATTTTGCCAGGGTACCCCTGAAGAAACCTCAAGGCACCCTGGTTGAGAAAAGCTGGTATAAACCATGTCTAAAGTACAATTTTATAGGTGAGTGAAGACGTGGTGTCTAATGCAGGGGTATAGCCTACAAAGAGCAAGCAACTTTGTTTGGTGTCAAACCACCAATAACCATGGCATAATATTTCAGATGTAACGCGGTTTACCCCAATGAACTATAAATCCCCCCACACTTCAGTTAGCTTTAGCAATCTACCAACAAAACGGTTTCTACAGGTATTGGCAAGTCTATAATCAACCAGGCTTTCCTTTTTGGAGAAGCTTAATTGATATTTGCAAATTGTTCTTTTATTGCACTGTGTTTGTCTCCTAAACTGGTTTTCACAAGGCAGTCTTCTGTTTGCGATTCTGTTCTGGTTCTTTTATGAACATTGTTTACATACACTTCAGTTGGCTGTATTGTTGTGGTCTCTCCAGCCGATATCGAGATATATGCCCTGTGTATTTGATATGGCCTCTATTGGCAATTCTTGTCTGTATAACCTGCATACAGCCAATAAACCTTTACGTAAAGAAAACTCTTAATACTTAGACTGGCTATTAAAGTACTGTATATATAACCGTAACTGGGTGAAATGTATTTTCAAAATGATTGCCAGTGTTTCCTTGCTCACAAAATACTGTTCACTCCTTTTGGTTTAATCCCTCATATGAATTTAATCTCTGCTTATTTACACCAGCCTATTTCAGCTACTTCCTATCTGTCTGCACTAGCACCTGCTTCGGCTGCAGACCATTGCTCTGGATCGGCTTCCTGTTAGCAACAGTGGTGGAATGCGTCTGTACAATATGTGTTCCCATGGCTGTAGGCTCCATCAGGGGTGCATGTCACGCAGTGACAACACAGGAGAGCAATTGGGACACCAAGATCCCCTGGTATTTTGTATTGAAACACAAGTCAAATAACTTTTGAAATTATATTCACAAAATAAAGCTTACAGTTGTGCTAAAATAATTGCATACCCTCACAGAAGTCCTGAAATTTTTGTATTGATATTGAATATAAGATAGATCATGCAAACATGCAAAAAAAAAAAAAAAAAAAAAAACTGTCTTATTTAAGGATAGTGATCATATGAAGCCATTTATTATCACATAGTTGTTTGGCTCATTTTTAAAGCATAACAAAAATCACCCAAATGGCCCTGATCAAAAGTTCACATACCCTGGAATGTTTGGTCTTGGAACAGACATATAAAAGGTGACACACACAGGTTAAAATGGCAATTAGAGGTTAATTTCCCACCTCTGTGGCTTTTGCGATTAGCGTCTGTGTATAAATAGTCAATGAGCTTAGCTCTCGTGTGGATGCAGTGAGCAGGCTAGATACTGAGCCATGGGGAGCAGGAAAGAACAATGAAAAAGCTCTGCGTAACAAGGTAATGGAACTTTATAACGATGGAAAATAAAAAGATATCCAAAGTCTTGAATGAGCTAGTCAGTATTGTTCAATTACTTATTAAGTGGAAAATTCGAGAATCTCTTGATACCAAGCCAAGGTCAGTTAGACCAAGAAAGATTGTATTCTGAACAGTTCTTCTAACAGTTGTGGCTGCAAAGGAAAAAACTCACAGGTAACTTCAGGAGAAATACATGCTGCTCTGTAAAAAGACAGTGCGGTTGTTTCAAGAAGCACAATAAGATTGAACAAAAATGAGCTGCATTGTCAATTTGCCAGAAAGAAGTCTTTACTGCGCCAACCCACAAACCAGCCTGGTTACGATATGCCTGACAACACCTTGATACACCACATAGCTTCTGGCAAACTGTAATATGGAGTGAAAAAAGCAAAAGAGAGCTTTACGGTTACACCAATAAGCTGTATGTTTGGAGAGGGGTCAACAAGGCGTATAGCGACAAAAACGCCATCTCCACTGTGCAGTATGATGGTGGCTCATTGATGTTTTTGGGGTGTGTGATCTCTAAAGGCATGGGAAATCTTGCAAAAATTGATGACAAGATGATGCAGCATGTTATCAAAAAATACTGACAGACAATTTGCATGCTCTTGCATGACAGCTGCGCATGAGACACTCTGACTTTCCAGCAGGACTATGACCCTAAAGGACAAGGCCAAGTTGATCCTCCAGTGGTTACAGCAGAAAAAAGGTGAAGGTTCTGGAGTGGCCAACAGAGTCTCCTGACCTTAATATCATCAAACCAGGTTTTGTTTTATGATTGTGCCATCCTGTTATAACCTACAGTTGAATAGGAATCCCATAAGAAATAAAAGAAATGTGTTTTTCTTGCTCGCTCATGTTTTCTTAAAACATGGTACATACAGTGTACAATTCTCCAAGGGTATGCAAACTTTTAAGCACAACTGTATGTAAGGGATTTCAATCTATTTTAACTCAACAAGACTGGCTGAATGATTATTGAATACAGCAAGGGCATATTACTTTCTCAGAAATACAGCTTGACATCTGGTGCTCGGATGAATTTCTAAAAGGGAGGGGGGGAGAAAGCCCCACATTCACTTGCATGGTAAGCACAGGCTGTCCTGTAGTTCAACGCTGAAGGACATTACAGTACATAAACATCCTTGTGTGGGCCGAAGTCTTACAATACTGGCCTGTACTGCACATACATGACCGATAAATGATGGCTCATCATTTCGGTGTATGTAGACGATGTCTAGAACACCAGAAAGTTTTTCAGATCAGTTTCCATTGAAGAGGACTTATTTTTAAATTAGAACATAATTTATTAAAACACACATGCAATACTACTTTTACAGCACTTGATTTATTTAATATCACTGTTATATGGGTCGGTATAGACAAAAAGAGAAACCAAAATAGATTTATGGCATTATTGAATATTTTGTAATCAACACCAATCCCCATCAAAGCCCATCATTTTTACAATTGTTGGTTCTGAAATACTTTATGTGGACAGTGCCAGATAAGTGCAAACTGATATGCGCAAAAAAAAAAAAGATTAAAGAATACTTCAAGTGCTTTCTTCACAACCACAGTTAAAAGGGCAACTCTGCCCAAACCTGATATTCCAGTTTTGGGTAGGTACTACAGGGATGAACCATTTTCTGGCTTTTTGTATCCCTTAATGACATAGTGGAGAGATGTTTGTAGCATGGTAATGATGTGTCACCTTATTTTACAATATGGTGATGCTGGAGGACAGGGACACTGTCATTTGTCTTTATAATGGCCAATGTGTGTGGGGAGAAATGGGACTACCACTAAGGATCTCTCAACAATGGCATTCACAAGAGATCTAAAAAGCCTGTGATTCACCTTGCCAGCAAACATGCAAAACTGAAATTTCAGTTTGATTGGCAACAGCCTTTTACCTTCCATTTATCAGTGGCAATTTTGTAAATGGTTGCCCACTGTAATAGGTTAATAACATAAAACTATAGAATCTCTTCACCATGGTTCATGTTAAATAAAAAAGTGATTTTAAAATGGGCAGGTTTAAAATCTATTTCAATGGTGCCATTTTTACGGAATGGATAATCAATGTGTTGTCCTTGTTTTGTAAACTGATTGCACGGTTTTATATTACATATCAATTTAATTTTCCGCTTTTCTTTAAATAAGCATGGCAAAATCTCCCAGCACCATGATTAACTGTTCATATAAGACATACCATTATTAATGAATGTAATCAACACTTCATTAGTAACGGTGTACACAAAACGTCCATTAGCGTCATTTCAACCTTGACTGTAAAGTTCTGGCATGGATGCTTAACAAAGAGGTGCACAGTTAAGGGTGTGAAGTCTTCTTTCACTTTATATTTGGTACTGTTGGGCTGCAGGGTGAAAGTTGATTAAGGAGTCCACAGCACAAACAGAGATAATGGCACTGGTAGAAGCTGCTGCCTACTGTCAATCAGGCATCTTTTTAAAGAACAGCAGCAGGAAAAAAGCCCCGTAAAAAAAAAGTTGTCAAGCAGCAAATGCATATTAGGGGGAGCTGTGAACAGATGTCAGGGGGGAGGACGCTCTGCGTGTGTACTGCACTCGATATCTTGTAACTGTCATGCCATGGATCTCGGAAATTTCACATACAGTCTTGCAAGGAACCATTTCTTCATCTTCTTCACCAGTCAACCAATCTTGCACCAGGTCAGATGCTCTGGAACTGACATTCTCCTGCAACCAGCTGTTGTGCCAGGTAGCAAATCTCTCATGGTGCTTCTGGAAGACCATGGGCTGGAACTGCAAAGAAAAATATGGTATGTATGAAAACATTTCCAACCATCAAATATACAGTCAGGTCCATAAATATTGGGACATCGACACAATTCTAACATTTTTGGCTCTATACACCACCACAATGGATTTGAAATGAAACGAACAAGATGTGCTTTAACTGCAGACTGTAAGCTTTAATTTGAGGGTATTTACATCCAAATCAGGTGAACGGTGTAGGAATTACAACAGTTTGCATATGTGCCTCCCACTTGTTAAGGGACCAAAAGTAATGGGACAATTGGCTTCGCAGCTGTTCCATGGCCAGGTGTGTGTTATTCCCTCATTATCCCAATTACAATGAGCAGATAAAAGGTCCAGAGTTCATTTCAAGTGTGCTATTTGCATTTGGAATCTGTTGCTGTCAAGTCTCAAGATGAGATCCAAAGAGCTGTCACTATAGGTGAAGCAAGCCATCATTAGGCTGAAAAAACAAAACAAACCCATCAGAGAGACAGCAAAAACATTAGGCGTGGCCAAAACAACTGTTTGGAACATTCTTAAAAAGAAGGAACGCGCCGGTGAGCTCAGCAACACCAAAAGACCCGGAAGACCACGGAAAACAACTGTGGTGGATGACCGAAGAATTCTTTCCCTGGTGAAGAAAACACCCTTCACAACAGTTGGTCACATCAAGAACACTCTCCAGGAGGTAGGTGTATGTGTGTCAAAGTCAACAATCAAGAGAAGACTTCACCAGAGTGAATACAGAGGGTTCACCACAAGATGTAAACCATTGATGAGCCTCAAAAACAGGAAGGCCAGATTAGAGTTTGCCAAACGACATCTAAAAAAGCCTTCACAGTTCTGGAACAACATTCTATGGACAGATGAGACCAAGATCAACTTGTACCAGAGTGATGGGAAGAGAAGAGTATGGAGAAGGAAAGGAACTGCTCATTATCCTAAGCATACCACCTCATCAGTGAAGCATGGTGGTGGTAGTGTCATGGCGTGGGCATGTATGGCTGCCAATGGAACTGGTTCTCTTGTATTTATTGATGATGTGACTGCTAACAAAAGCAGCAGGATGAATTCTGAAGTGTTTCGGGCAATATTATCTGCTCATATTCAGCCAAATGCTTCAGAACTCATTGGACGCCGCTTCACAGTGCAGATGGACAATGACCCAAAGCAGACTGCAAAAGCAACCAAAGAGTTTTTTAAGGGAAAGAAGTGGAATGTTATGCAATGGCCAAGTCAATCACCTGACCTGAATCCGATTGAGCATGCATTTCACTTGCTGAAGACAAAACTGAAGGGAAAATGCCCCAAGTACAAGCAGGAACTGAAGACAGTTGCAGTAGAGGCCTGGCAGAGCATCACCAGGGATGAAACCCAGCGTCTGGTGATGTCTATGCGTTCCAGACTTCAGGCTGTAATTGACTGCAAAGGATTTGCAACCAAGTATTAAGAAGTGAAAGTTTGATTTATGATTATTATTCTGTCCCATTACTTTTGGTCCCTTAACAAGTGGGAGGCACATATGCAAACTGTTGTAATTCCTACACCGTTCACCTGATTTGGATGTAAATACCCTCAAATTAAAGCTGACAGTCTGCAGTTAAAGCACATCTTGTTCATTTCATTTCAAATCCATTGTGGTGGTGTTTAGAGCCAAAAATGTTAGAATTGTGTCGATGTCCCAATATTTATGGACCTGACTGTAAGCCTTGAGTAAGGCAATACCTATATGACAAACAATCGACAGTAAGGTGTACAATCAAGGCATAAAAAGAAAACCCATGGCTTTAGTGTAATGTATATCTGGCTAATTAGCTTGGTTTTTTTCTTTTTGTTACAGTCAGGCATTCATTTGTCTGAACTGAAAATCAAGGTGCAGCTAATACAATGGACTTGTACATAATCGAATTTGTGCAAATAGTCTTTAATGACATCCTCACCTCTTTGGCTCTTGTCAGTGTCCCCCAGCGGTACATGTAATCTTCAGAGTTGATGATGAACATCATCTTGTGGCTGTTGAGCCTGAAGCGACAATCCATATTGCTAGCACTTTCCACTCCCATTAATCTTTTCCATGAGCTCTTAACTTCATCTTTCATCATTCGCATTGTCCTGCACTGCCATCTGTGAAAATTTCTGATATTTCTGTGGACAGAGAAACGTCAGTCATTAAAAATGTCTGATCATTAATGACAATTTGTGAACATTCCTCAGAGGGTAACATACAGTATATGTAAAAGATTAGTTCAGGGTAAATTATCAAGCTTTTCTGTCATCCCTTACGCTGTCCCCATCAGTATATACTTGCCTTTCCTTCACTTACTCGTCTTGTTTTCCAGTACTGAGCTAAAAGGATACCTGGAACATGCAGTAATGGAGCAGCATGCGACTCACCCATGTGCCAGTGCTGGGGTAATTTGTGCTGTCAAACATGGTCTCTTATATCCCAACATAAGCTATGACAATGGCGACTTGTTGCTCACACAGGACTAAAGTAAAATTAACCTTGTATTTGCCCTTCATAGGCAAAGAACAGGTTTGTTTAAGAAACACCTGGTGCATTTACAGTAAAGCGTTTTTGGGTGCTGACATCTCAAATCCTTACAGGTTTCCCAAGTGTCTCTAGTAGTTAACTTCCCCCCCAATTGAACAATTGACACCATCAGTCTCCAAACTATGACTCCCAAGTTGCTGTAAACCAGCCCCTGCAATGAAAAGGTCCTTCATGCAGGGCTCTCTCATGGCATGTCAGGGAAGCCATTTTTTCAGCTTTTCAACAATGCTGGAACATTTTATACTCCTATTGACTACTGATACAGGGCGATTTGTTTTCTTCCACTGATTACCAAGGTAGGGGCAGTAACAGTGTGATGGACAGTGACCTTGTTTAGAAAATCTGGGGACCCATAATTAACATCTAAATAATATATCCAACCCTTTACCAAAACTCCTAAAACTTAACTTAAACTTGCCTTAACTTAAAGGATAAGTTCACCTTTTGAACATGTTACATGTTTTCCCCGTATTTAGGGTGGAACATGTAACATGTTCCCATAGCCGAAGCAGTGCCCGCCACCCCCCCCCCCCCCTCCCTGACAGATAGTACGGGGAGACTTCTCCCAGTTCCCGCCACCCTTCCTCCCTCTGAGTAGATAGTCTGACAGATAGTACGGGGAGACTTCTCCCAGTGCACGCCACCCTTCCTCCCTCTGACAGATAGTACGGGGAGACTTCTCCCTGTACTATCTGTCAAATTTGAAAACAGTGTGGCCATGTGGGGCTCCGCCCACCTGGCTGCGTCACTCATTCACAGAGATATGTGAATGAGTGCTTACAAGTCCCAGCAGCGTTAGCGACTGTCGGATTGTAGTTTTCAATGAGCTACCATGGTGCTGTGGAGCGCCATTGTAGTTCATCAAAGCTACCTGTCAATATATCTGCTTGACCGTACATTCCGTACAGCTAGAAGATATTCTGACAGGTCTGCAGGAGACCTGCATGGCTTCAGTGATATACTAATCGCTGGTGCAAAGCTTTCCAGGCTCCTAATCAACTTAGTTCATTTAAGTAAGACCCAATTCTAAATTTAGCCTTTATTTGGTACTGTCCTCTTCCTGGTCTCTAACCTGACACCCTTTAGCACTTGGCAATTGTGTGAACCTTGGGCCCCTGCAGACAGCAGCCTGTGTTTTCCTCATCTATGTTTTTTTCTCAGGCATTGAAGGAAACCCATTATGTAGACTTTGTTCAATTAAATGGCTTAGTTTATTTCTTTTCCAGTATGTTACTTTTTCTGTTTTTTTATCCCTTTTAATCACTTTTTTTTTTTTTTTTTTTTGCCCCTCTACAATTTTATAATAGTTTTTGCCAAGCTAAATATCATAGAACAAGTATTTAAAGGTGGCTGTACAGAGCACCAATGTGCAAGCACGGATTAGTAAAAGGGCTTTAATAACAGTAATTTCTAGCAGGCTCATGTGATGGGTCTCCAGTCTATAACTGCCTGAATTAACCCTAGTCTTAACAAATCCTATGGTATGTTCACAGTTTGTCTCTTGTAAAAGGCTTGTAGTCTTTGACCATCTCCTGTTGCATGTCTGTAGTCTTTAATGGATGCAAGTCTGTAGTCTCTAATGGATGCAAGTCTGTAGTCTCTAATGGATGCAAGTCTGTAGTCTCTAATGGATGCAAGTCTGTAGTCTCTAATGGATGCAAGTCTGTAGTCTCTAATGGATGCAAGTCTGTAGTCTCTAATGGATGCAAGTCTGTAGTCTCTAATGGATGCAAGTCTGTAGTCTCTAATGGATGCAAGTCTGTAGTCTCTAATGGATGCAAGTCTGTAGTCTCTAATGGATGCAAGTCTGTAGTCTCTAATGGATGCAAGTCTGTAGTCTCTAATGGATGCAAGTCTGTAGTCTCTAATGGATGCAAGTCTGTAGTCTCTAATGGATGCAAGTCTGTAGTCTCTAATGGATGCAAGTCTGTAGTCTCTAATGGATGCAAGTCTGTAGTCTCTAATGGATGCAAGTCTGTAGTCTCTAATGGATGCAAGTCTGTAGTCTCTAATGGATGCAAGTCTGTAGTCTCTAATGGATGCAAGTCTGTAGTCTCTAATAGATGCAAGTCTGTAGCAATACTTTCACGGAATATTACGTGCATTAATTTGGTGATGCCAGGGATAATTCTTGAGGCCCATTGATGACAGCTTAGTCACTTTGGACTGCACCAGGGTCAGCTGCCCCACAACAGCTCTGCTACAAAAGATACCAGTGCACCGTCTGGTTCCTCCCCAGTGATTGATATAGGCTATAGTTGTGGCATTGTCCAGCTGGATTCTGGTCAGGTAATTTTTCAGTCCAGTGTTAAAAGGCACAAACTGAAGTGCCCCGAGTTCTAGGATGTGGATTCAAAATTGAGCTTCACTGAAAGGACATTCATGACTCCTCCCCTGCTCGACAGGTTCACATTTGTTGTGAGAACTTTCCACTTAGGGAAAAAGGTTTTTCCCTGGTTGGAACGTCGCTATGTCAGGGAGAGTCTGGCCTTGCAGGTCAGAAGCATATGGCTCAAGGCTGTTTGAGAATGTTGAGTTGCAACCATCTGGAGTGAAACTGGGCATACCATACTGCCCTGAAAGTGTCTCCCAGGACTGATTCTAAGACGTAAGGGCCTGAGCATAAGAGTGCAAGGACAGAAGTTAGACCCGGGGAAGGTGAATCCCAGGCAGGGCCATATCCAATATTAGGGCCAGGTACGGCTAATGGTAACTCAGGTCCAGTGATGACTTCTGGAGGCTGAGGATCTATCTGAAACTCTGCACTCTCTTGTCAGACTAGCTGACAGGGTTCTGGCAGGCTGGTCCTTTAATATAAGACTGTCCAGATATCCCACAATGTGGATACCTAAAAAACAGAGCTAGGACCAGAGAGCAAGCACCTTGGTAAAGATCTTGGTGCTGTAGCCAGACCAAAGGGAAGGGAGGCAAATTGGTAATGTTATGTGCCCACAGCAAACCACAGATAGAAGATGGTGATGTGTAAGCAAGCATCCTTAATGTTCAGACGCCAGTTGGTCTCCTGGTAGTATGGAAGAAATTACCAACCTGGCCAATTCCATGGAGAAGTTTTGGACTTGTAGGTACAATGCAGTTTTTTGGAATCAAGAATTAGCCAAAAGCCTCCATTTGCCCTGGGAACCATGTACAGGTTTGAGTAGAACCCTTGAAACAGCTCCTCATCCAAAACCAAGGTATCAAACCCCTGAAAGAAGCAATTGAATAGCAATGTGGCGATCAGCCTGTCTTAGAGGGAAGATGACAAATTCAAGAGCATGAAATGGGGAGGAGGCAGAACCCGAAACTCATATAGCTTGCGTTCTACCACTGAGATATATTGCCTCAGATTTCTTGGGGCTGAAAAAGCCAATAGATATCCTCCCCGCTCTGACAAGTTGGGGAGCTACTGCAATGGGAAAAGGGCTTGGACATTGAAATTGCCTTTTTTTCAGGTACATGTCTTACAACAGAAGTGAGTAGACTTGAATCTCAAGGCCTGAGAGCAGCAAAGTAAATTTTCCTCATTTGCTGAAGGCTTACTTGCAGGAGTTCGGGCCGTCTATTTCTGAGGAAATAAAGTACTCTCACCCCAGGTGATTTGTATGATCTGCTTGTCCAAGAAGATAGCAATAAATTACACTCCCTTGAATGGCATCCTCTTGAAAATGCTTCCCACAAGGGAGATATGCTAACCAACATTTGAGGATCCTTCTCATGTTTATAGAAAAGGGGCCCATCCAAGCAATCTGGTGAATTGTGCCCACTAAGCCATCCATGCAGTAGCACAGTGTCACAGGTAATAGCTTGATTTGGTGTTGAACAGAGGAATCCGTTAAAATGGAGCCAGGGTCTTAAGCCATGCACTTGACAGCAAGGATCTGGTAAACAACCATGACTGCAAATGCAATTTACATGGCAAGACCTGCCAGAGAGGACAAAGCCTTAAAAAGGGCTTCCAACCTATGTCCATAGAGTCCTTAAAAAGGGATGATCTTCCACAGGGACCATTACGGTTTTCTTAAGGCAAAATGATGGCTGTGTCCACAACAGGGACAGTCCAGAACTCTGCTCAATAAAGTATTGCTGGATAAAGCATTTTGGAAGGGTGAAATGCTTTTCAGGGTGATGCCAGTCATAGTACAAAATGGGCTCAAGGAATCCTAAAGAGAAATCTCCATCAAAAAAGTGAGGTAAGATTCCCTTGAGATAAGACATCCCAAACCCAAGGACACAAAACAAATTGGGGCTTACTGGGAGTGGAGAGGTTATATAGGGGATATCCCAACAGCTTTTTTTTTTTGCACTTGCTGCATATTATCCCCTTCTGGGATAAAATAATACAATTATATGACAAACTTGTTGGGGATGAATTCCCAAGTGAACTACACATAACTATATAACTTTTTATGTTGCCAGGCTCCTATAGACAAATCAAGAAAAGCTTAATGTGACTTGTCCTTACAGCAACCAGCTCAGTTATCGCTAGACATTGGTGGCAACTGTCTGTACTCTCTTTGGCTGAATGGGCTTGTGAAATCAATAGGATCGAACACCTGGAATGCATGATAACATAGGATCGAACACCTGGAATACATGATAACATGGGAGGATAACAAGTCTGACTCTTACAAAACTTATGTGGACCGTCTGGTCACATTTTCGGTTTTCCTCCAAGTTTGGGGCCTTTGTAGCTGTTCCTTCTGTGGCCTCTCCGGTATAGATGGCATCCTCCTCTTCCTCATCCCCCCCCCCCCCCCCCCCCACTCCTGGTTTCTTTTCCCCCTCCCCCATTTTTTTTATTTTTTACTTTGTTTTCTACCTCTCTCTGTGGACTTAACTTTTACCTATTTCTCTTATACATGGTGCTCTGGAATGTACTGTTCTGTTTCTTATATAGATGATAGCACCATTATGCCATTTTCATTGTATTCTCTCTCACATTATAATACTAGATGGTCATGGAGCTAACCATATTTAAAAATGTTTTGCTGATCTTAACATGTCTCAAATGACCTATACTTTTATATTAACCTTGTGATGTCTCGCCTTACATTACTGTAGTCTATATGTAACCCTCATGGTGTTTGCATAGTCTCTACCCTAGGTTCACACCTATGCAGGTTGCCTTTGAGGAGTTTCTGCATTGCGTTTTGCACTTGCGGTTTTTCTTTTCATTTTTTATTTTTCTTGTTGCTAGGCAGATATGAAACACAAAACACAATACATGCTTTTCTGCAGAGTTCCCATTGAAGTCTATAGAACCAAAAATGCATTGTTTTGCATTCAAAAAAAGTCCCTGACCATGTCCAAAAAATGCACCAGGTGAAAAAGTGGAGATGTGAACCTGTCCCATAGGAAATCATGTTAAATGGACTGTACTGCAAAATGCGGCAGAAAATGCTTAATTGTGAACCTAGGGTAAAGTGATGTTAAAGGTTCAGATTTTTTTTTTTCCCCCTTTAACCACTTCCCACCCGGCCTATGGTAACAGGACGGCTAGACTGGACATATCTTGCACGTGGCTGTGTGGCAGGCACGATCTGTTACCTGCTGTGTCCACCGGACGCAGCCGATGACAGATCACTGTACAGGCCCACTGTGACCAATCACAACAAATCACAGGACAACTGTAAACAATGAGTGGCTTCCTTCTGTGTTGCTAGCTGTGAATGGCTCTGTCTGTACCATGTGATCAATCACAGCCATCTGTGCTATTTGACTAGCTGTAGCTAATCACAACAATACTGAATGAATCAATTTCATTCAGTAAAATGCTTGCTTAAAGCAATAAAATTCACTGCTATAAGCAATCGATGTGTAAAAAAAAAAAAATCATGTAAAAAAAAACCATCCTGATCACCTCCCCAGAATACTACAATGTTACTATGGCAACATTGTATTGCTCTGGTCACAGTTTGTAAAAAAAAAAAAAAAAAGTATTACATTAAAATTTTTTTTTTTCGCACTGTCACCAGTTAGTGTCCCTGATCACTTCTACACCATTTGTATAATGATGCTGCACTGTACCGGTGACACAGAGCAGCCCCAATCCTCCTGTTCCCGAGTCCTCCACTGGTGCTCTTGGCTCCTCCCCCCTAAGCACCTCCAAGAACTGAGCAATCAGCGGTCTTTGATCACTCAGTCCTCGGTCTTAGAAGCATTGGGGGACTGAAGATGCATCCACCTAAGTGATGAATGTTTTTTTCAAAATCCCAAACTACTCTTTTAATGCCTACTAATCAGTAGTTTGTTAAAAATGCTTGTTAGATTCCAGCTATGGGTAAAAAAAAAAAAAACAAACAAAAAAATCATCATAGATACCTCTGTAAAAATACTGGCTTCAACAAAAATCCTTCATTTTGACCATTCTGTTCACCTTGTACATTAATATACTGCTCCACATAATTGGATAGGTGCTAAACAAAAACAAGGAAGGAAAAAATAACAAATTAGGTCTGCTTTCAATAAAACAAAAAAAGGCTGTATCCACAACTGAAATAGAGAAGGAGTACACCTTTATTGCTACACAAGCCCACATGGTGCCATGAAACCCCCCCCCCCCAAAAATGTATAATTTTCCTGCATAAAATGTAATTTCACAACCCACATTTGCAAAGTCACATAACCAATACCAAGGCACTGCTCATGAGGGCTCTGAAAATGCAGAAATTATGCACTCCATCTGAGGACCACAAACCAGGATTGCAATAATTAATTTTTAATATTCAAAACAAACTCCTCCATCCATGTCTCTATGCTTTATTTTACAGAAAAATCATTTTGAAAAACACCTTCTGGCATCTTTGGCAGTGGCCAACTTGAGTAAGGGCAGATGATTCATGTAGCAGTTACTTCCTGGAATCCATCTGTTCTTAGCTCAGGTATTGGCTGAGCCGAGAACCCTCCCTCCCCTCCTGAAAAACTCCTGGGATGCATAGGTATAGAAACAGGAAATAAATGATGCAATGCAAAAAAGGTTAATGCAAGTTAATATTACATGCATTTCTATCTATATACTAATGCCGGCAGCATAAGGATTAGAAAAAGTCAATGTTGATTGAGCGAGTGAAGTTTTGCTTTAATGATTGATATAAGAACACCATTTACTATGGCTTATGACTAATGGCTCTGTCTTAACATCCCAAAAAAGATTCAGGATTTTATTTTTTTATATTGTGTTTCCATGGTATGTAGGCTGAATGGTATAACAAAAGTATATTATGCTTACATTCTAGTTCTGCTTTAAATAAGCCCCAATGCTATGCTCCTACCTGCACCTCAGTGGGGTCTTCTGTCTGAACATCTTCTGTGTCAAGCAGCTCAATCGTCATGATCACTTGGCCCTGTCTTTGCAAGAACATTATCTAAAAGTAACCCAAAAACAAACAAAAAAAAACAAACACATAAATTACAATATTTAGGCATTTTCCAGAATTCCATATTTCTGTTGATATAATTAGTTCTCTAATTTTCTGCTTCACAATCCGACTCACTCCATTTACTGAAGAGTTATTTCAACTTATTCACCAGTCAGTGTGGTCACAGTGGTCCTATGTCACTAAATTCCAATCAAAGTCCTACATCTCTTAAACTGGCATTTCTTGCCCTCGCGCCACAGTGATTTTTGTTGGCATAGGGGAGTTACAGCCACAGCCCTCAGCACGTCCTTACAAGGACTTGTAATTCAGGAGTAGGGCAGTGGGTTTTTCTGACCGGCACTATTACTAAGTAATTAGGTCAAATTACCTATTGGACACCACTTTTTTTTTTTTTTTTTTTTTTTTTTTTAAGAAACCCTGCATTTAGCAGGAAAGCAGAAAATCAACTATGAAAACAGAGGTTGTTAGTTCAATGTCTGACTACACTGACTGCATGTTTTTGTAAAACTTCAAATAAACTTTTGAGTGCTGTGATTGGCTCATATGACCCAAGGTGCCATCCACATCTTGCGTAGTGGAAATGGGCATTCACGTGGGGGGGGAAAAAAAAACAAAAAAACAATCACACCGTGTTTGGGATGCAAATAAGATGAATGCCACCAAACCACGCGTCTTGCCATGATTTTAGCGCATTATGGAATTGCAGGCAGAATCTCGTTGATTCTTCACACGATTTTAAATTGCCAAGTGCAATTGGGGCTTAAACAGACATAAGGTTTTATTGTCCAACTGCCAAGGTTTCTTCTTCACCTGACATAGCAATAAGTGCTTGGTGAGCCAATTTTTTTTTTAATATAAAGTAATGCACGGCATTGGCAGCTCAACTGTGTTTTATCCACAGAGATCAAATAGCAACAAAAATGCAGGCCTCCTGATATAATTATTTGTGCCCCATACATTCTTTGACAGTCATAAATATAATGCAATCACTTCTTATTATGTAAGGCTGGTCTTGGTGTAATTTTTGACTACCAAGTACCAGAGTATAAGTTTTAAGAAGCCGGTCACCCTGACATTTTCACCAATTTGATTTAAATTAGCAAGGTCTCTTATGCCTTTTATACACAGCTCAACATGGGGTGCACATGGCCAAATTAGGTATTATATTCAATGGCTCAGCACACCAACACTAAGCAAAACATTTGCTTCCCTAAAATAGATTCAGATTGCAACATCTCCTGCCTCTGAAGTCACAAATACTAATACCACACCCCCTTTTTCCAAACTTAAAGAATATTTCCACTACTTACCTTTTTAAATGCTGTTTTCTAAAAATTCCAAAGCTGAAAAACACCTATTTGGCTTACTCCTCCTAGGTAATGTTTGAGGAGGCTGCAAAGGTATGTTTACTATAATTAGCCCTGTCTGTTCTATGCTGGCAGATCTTCATTATCAGTTGTAAACTAGATACGTACACTGTCCTATGGGATTAAAATGTCAGGGCTAACTATTGAGTTCTGTGTACAATCCTCCTTTAAAGAATCAACTAGAAAAAAGGTAAGATTTTTTTTTTTTTTTTTTAAATATCAAGTATGCTGAGTGAGTGGGAATATAGTAACATAGTTAGTCTGGCTGAAAAGACAAGTCCATCCAGTTCAACCACAAAAAAAAAAATCCTATACCGACAGTTGATCCAGAGGAAGGCAAAAAAAAAACCCAGCAAAGCATGATTCAATTTGCTCCTGGAGAAAAAAACAATTCTTTCCTGATCCCCCGAGAGGCAATTGGATATTCCCTGGATCAACTTTACCTATAAATTGTTAGTTACCAGTTATATTCTGTGTATCCAAGAAAGAATCCCTGCCTTTTTTAAAGCAATCCACCGAGCTGGCCAGAACCAACTCTTGAGGGAGTTTACTCCACATTCTCACAGCTCTTACTGTGAAGAAACCTTCCCATATTTGGAGAATAAATCTCTTTTCCTCCAGACATAAAGAGATTCACCCTCAGGTCATCAGAGGACAAGGGGGGCAAACTCTACCCAAGTTCACTATATGAACCACTGATCTATTTATACATGTTGATCATATCCCCCCCTTAATCTCCTCTTCTCGAGAGAATAAATTCAAATCCTTTAATCTTTCCTCATAGCTGAGCTCCTCCATGCCACTTATCAGTTTGGTTGACTTCTGTGCACTTTCTCCAGTTCCCCAATTTTCTTTTTGTGAATTGGTGTCCAAGACTGAACTGCATATTCCAGATGAGGTCTTACTAATGACTTGTACAGGGGTAATATGATATCTCTCTCTCTGGAGTCTATACCTCTTTTAATACAAGAGAGGATTTTGCTCGCTTTAGAAACTGCAGCTTGGCATTGCATGCCATTATTAAGCTTGTGATCTACCAGAACCCCCAGATCCTTCTCCACCATTGATTCCCCCAGTTGTACCCCCTCTAGTATGTATTGTATACCATAATATATAACATATGGTGGTGGTTTATCAAATTTGAGAGCAAAAAGGTTGAAAACACACTTTAATACTGAACTAAAAAGTTTAAGAATGTTCGGGCATCCAGGAGTTTTTGTCATATTGGGCAAGTATACTGAGCATATTTGCACATTATGGCATGCTTACCTAGTAAATGCCCTTCTTAAATGATGCCATGGCTCCCCTTTATTGCTGGTGCACAGAAGTTACTTCATCCTGACACAGAATCGTGCGAAGTATACACTGAGCTATGTGTAAAAGTGCTGACAGGCAGGGAGAAGCATTTATGACAAAAGAATCAGATAAGTCTCTCCTGTACTAAAAAACCTACCTATCATCATATTTTTCAAAATAGGAGTTTAATTCTGCTTTAAGGTAAGCTGTAAAAGGACCACCACAGAAAAACGTATTCACTAATTGTGCTGCTCCTAAAATTTATTTGCACAAATCTTGTACAGAATTCCACACCTAATACATGCTATCTGAGATTATTTAATTCCCTGCAAAGACACACATTTACAAGTATGTAAGAAACTGAAGTAGGCTTGTACTTTAAATTGAACCCTTAAAAAGGTCTGCTACACCCGCCCTTGCGAGGCAAACTGACAGTGTCTCTGCAAAGGGTCTCCCTTATACTCATTTGGCTGCGCTTCACCCTTCCTCTACTGCAGCCAGCACTAAATTTACTGGGGTCTGTGACCAGGGAGAAACACTTACATCATTCCCTTGTGACAGGGCTAATACCTAGTGATTGGCTGTTTAGGGCCGATCATTGTCACAGGGAAGGAATTCACATGCTCTTCCATACCTGGGGACTCTGGGACTTAGAAACAGTGGGGGAGCATTGGTAAGGTAAGGGGACCCTTTGCAGAGACACTGTCACTTTGCTCTGCCCTGGGTTTATTTAAAGAACAAGACTATAATTTAGTTTTTTTGCTGATCTGGGCTGGCACACACCAATACAGACCATCTACCATATGAATGAACATCCTGAATTTTTGATTAGGGTATAAACCAAATACAAATCTAAGAACTGCATTCTTCAGATTACCTTGAAACAATTCTCATCTGCCATGCAATGCTCTGCTTTCCACTGATAACTCGTTTCTTGCGCAGCACGGACACACTGGGTGATTAGACTGCCCCCTGCTGCTCCTTTTTTTTTCTCACTCAGGTACAGTTCCACTACCTTCAAGCAGATCTCGTCGCTTACTAAATGATGGAGCTGAGAAATCAGAACAAAGAAGATCACAAAGAGGTCATAAACACACATCAAAATGAAGGGCAGCTGTCAAGCATGCAAATGTGAAAATACCACCACAAACAAAATTTATTATAGTATAGTTTTCTATGTAGCCCTACACATTTAGCAAATATTAACAGTGTCTCTAAATACTGAAGATCTAAGAGTTGAAATATGTTATAATATATATTAATAAACAAACAATCTATGAGTACTGCTGAAAGCTTAGATTGTTAAAATGTACCACTTTCACTTCCTAAGCATGCACACATGTTGATTCCCAGATAATATGTCCCAACAGATGTTTAAAAACACACTCCTCCTCTCCAAACACAGTAGAGCCACCTGCAAGGTATTTTCCCTTACGCAGCATCAATCAAGACAGCCCGATAGGGAAGAGATATGAACCGGTAACATGAAAGGGTGTTTTGGAAAATACTGTGTTTAAATGATAGGCTAAAAAGTTTCCCACAGGACATGCCGCCAATTGCTTCCACACAGTGCCAGCCTCTCCACGTTAATCCCCCCCCCCCCATGAGGTTTCCCGGGCTCCACTTCATCTGCGGGCCCGGCTCGCCTTCGGCCAGAGGGGAGGGAGAAGAGCAGACAAGTCTGCTCCCCTCCCCTTCTTGTCCTGCATCGGAAGTGACGTTACAATGTCACTTCCCGGTCCCCGTTGAGACTGTAATGCAATACCCAGAGAAGAAAGTAATATGGTGCGATGTGCACTGCATTATATTCAGTGGAGCAGAGGGGAGACATGCAGGGTCTTTTAGACCTTGGATGTCTCAAAGAGAACCTGTCACCAAAAATCATCACATATGGGACTTTGTCCCTTATGTAATGCGAAAAAAAAGTGAAAAAAGTGTTTTTTTTTTTTTTTTTTAATATATTGTAAAAAATTCAAGTTACACTCAAGCACATACCATCACACCTCCCAAAAAATATTGAGGCCCCCACATGTACACACGTACAAACGTAAAAGCACACACTGGGGCGCCTACACACGAAACCGTCGATTGAGATACACATCACATATCACCACGCACGCCAGAATGAGAGCAATAATTCTAGCACCAGACTCCTCCTCCCGTAACACTAAACTGGTGACTTATAAAGGAGCATTAAAAGTGTCGACCTAAGGAAAAATAGGGTACTGAAGTTCGTCGCCATTTCACGAGCGTGCACAAATTTAAAAAGTTGTCGGACCTAAGGAAAATTGGTGTCATTTATTGCTTTTTTGTGGTACTGATTTTGCAGTTCGTCGTCTTGGTTTCAGAAAATATATAATGTTTGGGGGTTTTATGTAATCTTCAGGCCTAAATTATTTTTTAAACTTGTGCAAAAAATGCAAAAAAACAACGCTGAGCCCGACCCACCCTTTTCTGCAGCCAATCGGTGTTCATTACACTGCAAGGTCTCTCCCCTCCCTGCTAGTCCCCGGGTGCAGTGCTGGAGAGAGGCAGGGAGGGGAGGAGGAGATAAACCACGCAATGTTAAAAATATTACACGTTTAGACATTCCTAAAATCACCTCCAATTTAAATATGGTTTTGGTTCAAAAAAAAAAATTTTTTTTTTTAAAATCTGGACAAGTAGATTGTCACGAGGGACAAGTAGATTGGGGTCCCGATTTAGTCCCTGGACAAGTAGTTTTTTTCAAAAATTTCCACACCCCTGAACCAACAATAAAATAGTCTGAAGAGCATGCAAAAAGAGCAATATACCACCCCTGGACACTAAGAAAGAAGGATAGGGTGGCTGGTGGGATGGATTTTCACATACAGACTGGTCACCATGAGTGGTCAGACAAAAATCAGGGGCAGGTAGACAACCACAAAAAAAGGTATCAGAAGCAGAGAACAGTTTGACTGATAAACATACTGTTAAATGTAATGGTGTCCTTGGATAGATTTACCCTTTATGTCTGATGTACTACCGGTGGTTTGATTCATGATACCTGGCACCTGTATGCTATGATAAAAAGGCTGAGATGCAAGTCTGGATTTCTTACTGCCACATAAGAAGCTGCAGCTACCTGTCGTGTGATGTTCTGAACCAGCTTGTCCATCGTGAAGCCAATATAAGCATGTATAGTGAACATCTCCCGTAGTGTGTCTTCATAATGGGTAGGGTCCAGATTTCCAACAAGAAGGTTTCTTACCATGTCTAGGAATGCAGGGTAGTATTCTTCTAATTCAACCTCGCCTGAAAAAAAGTAACACATGTACACCAGCCTAAATTACTAAAACATTGCATTAGAAAATATTTAGGGACTGCTCTCTTTTATTGTCAGCTGAAGAATATGAATGAGCACATATTGACTGAAGTGCAATTGACAAGAGAATCACAAAGCAGAAAAAAAAAAAAAGGGGGGAAAAAAAAAAAAACAAGAACTGCCATTGCAGACCTCTCATAAAAATACTTGTCGGCCAAGTGGCTTCAACACTTTCTGGGGCACTAACCTAGATGTAGCATGTAGATCAGGAATTTTGACGTAATAATCTGCATACTTTTTCCAGGTCAGGGATTCAGACAACTAGTATTCTTAGGAGGATGTCAGCAATATAAAGCACCCATATTCCCTCAGTACAGTTGTGTTAAAAAACTGTAAGCTCTCATTTGAATCCTGGCTTTACTATTACGGTGAGGCACTGAAATGGAACAAACTGCAAAATCTGAAATGGTCTGTACTCCCACTGGCACCCTGTGCTTTTCACAGATGAGAGCAGGTTCACCCTGAGCACATGTGATAGACGTGAAAGGGTCTGTAAAAGCCATGGAGAACGTTATGCTGCCTGTAACATTCAGCATGATTATTTTGGTGGTGGGTCAGTGATGGTCTGGGGAGGCATATCCATGGAGGGATGTACAGAACTCTACAAGCTAGACAATGGTGCCCTGACTGCCATTAGGTATAGGGATGAAATCCTTGGACCCATTGTCAGACCCTACACTAGTACAAGAATGCCCGGCCTCATGTGGCGAGAGTACACAGGCAGCTCCTGGATGATGAAGGACTTGATACCATTAAATGGCCCCCACTCTCACCTGACCTAAATCCAATAGAATGGGATATCATATTTCGATCCATCCGACGCTGCCAGGTTGCACCTTAGTCTGTCCAGGAGCTCAGTGATGCCCTGGTCCAGATCTAGAAGGAATTACCCCAGGACACCATCGTCGTCTCATTAGGAGCATGCCCCGACATTGTCAGACATGCATACAAGCACGTGGGGGCCATACAAACTACTGAGTACCATTTTGAGTTGTTGCAATGAAATTTCAGCAAGATGGACTAGCCTGCTGCATAATTTTTTCACTTTGATTTTCAGGGTGTCTTTGAATTCAGTCCTCTGTAAGTTGATAGCTTTCGTTGCCATCAAAGGACGGGGCATCCTTACGTTCCTAACACATTACCCAGTCCATATCAGTATAGATATCCAGCATATTTTCCCCATTTAGATCTGATGTGTTTTCAAAGTGTTCCTTTATTTTGAGCAGTGACAATTACATTGTTGATGTAAAGCACCGGACATTTTTCCCTTCATTGTACTTAACCACTTGCCTACCGAGCACTTACACCCCCTTCCTGCCCAGGCAAATTGTCAGCTTTCAGTTCTGTCGCACTTTGAGTGACAATTGCACGTTCATTCAACACTGTACTCATGAAATTTTTATCATTTTTTTCACACAAATAGAGCTTTCTTTTGGTGGTATGTATTAGGCATTTTAATTTTTGCACTATAAAACAAAAAAAAAAAAAAAAAAAAAGCAAAAATTTTGAAAAAGACATTTTCCTTCTTTGTTTCTATTATAAAAATTTTGCAAACAAGTAATTCTTCTCCTTCACTGATGTGCGTTGATGAGGCTGCACTGATATGCAACAATGATGGGCACTGATCATCAGTGCCGATCCCTATGACAATTGCCGGTTATCGGCAGTACTTTCCTCACACTGTGACAGCGTAAGGAAAGTACAGCCAATAACCGGCAACTATATTTACCGGTGATCTCCTGTGTCAATAGACACAGTTGATCACGTGGTAAAAGGCAGCTGTGATTGGCCCTTTACCACATCAGGTGATCAGCTGTGTCTGTAGGACACAGCTATTATGGAGATCACCAGGTGCGAGCCCCCGGGGGCGTTCTGTGAGGACGTCATGACGGCCTCCCAGAACTGGCCAGCTGCAGCGAAGCAGTCATTTGTCTAATCTGCGGTCGACAAGTGGTTGAAGTGGTAATAAATCCAAAACTAAAGTAATATATTGAAGCTTACCAATCATTGGATGTGGTGGCTGCATTATCATTATTTAATTTTTTTTTTTTTTAGGCTTTTTCCCTATGTTTACACCTGGTGATCTGGCCAGTAACACACCTCCTGTATTAGAAAGTTAATGCTCTGGATGAATGCACAGGGGGCACCTTTGGACAGCAGGACTGTCAGTCTGGGGAAGGAAAGTGTTCGATGGACTAGCAGATTTAAATACACTAATTGAAGCCAAACTCTAGCTCATACTACAGTAACAGCATCATTTTCTTTTGGGATAAAGGCTTTACATGACTAAATAAAATCTGATCATTGTAAGCACCCTTGTCTTTGTTAAATGGTTGTCTTGACCTTGTAACTGCTACATTTGCAAGAGAACTTGTTCTGTTGAAAAAACAACAGACCTACTGGCTGGATCACCAAATGAAAAAAAGCCTAAAAAAGAAAAGTAATGCTGCCATCAGACCTAAGAACTGGTAAGCTGCAATATAACAAATGTTTGTTTCTGGGTTTAATACTGCCTTAATATTGGGAACAAGAACAGCAAGTGATCAATGCTAAACAAACTGGGCACATTTATAAACAGTAGAGCAGAGTAAAGAAAAAGCAGCTACTTCAATCACATTCCAACTGACCTTTTGTCTATGAAGGTAAGAAAATTACTCCACTTCACTGGCTGAAGTTGGCAACAGAATTGAGCTTCCTATAATTTAGCCCTGCTGCATGTAAAAAGTTCATCTGTACTAGTGGAATTTACAGTAACATCTTCATCAGTATACTAAAATAAGTGTAGCATTGTATTCAATGGAGTCAAAAGTTGATATAATCAGCAAGGTCACAAGTGTTGCACCTTAAACACTTATTAGCAGCTCTGATCTGCAATGACTAGTGGGTAAATATCCCAGTATCTATGAAATATGGACCCAGACAGCATGTTTTAACAAAGGGACTATAAATCATAAATCAATGTGCGGTGGTCATATTTATGTACATAGGGCAAACCTGAGGTTTCATTCAGAAATGTTAACACAAAACAACCTTTTTCAGCAAAGGGTGGACCTATAAAAGCACAAATGCAGCTGTAAGACAGTACTTGCCCATTGCTTGGTTTATGCCCTAATCCCACTAAAAATTCTCAATTGAAAGCCCAAAGGTTGTTTTAAATCTTACAGGTTTCTTTTACAAGCCACAGCCTGAGTAGAAAAGTCTAATCCCTTGCCGGTATGCTGCAGAGAAAGACCCTTGCTCATTATGCTGCAGCAGGGATCTCTCTGAAAAAGTCTGACAACCCCTTACTGAGTCACAGCCAGTATTCTCTAATTACCAGAAGGCATGGGCTATAGGTTTTTGCTTGTTAGCATTATGTAATTGCAAGATCCCACGCTGCAGCTACTGGCAGGGGACAGGCTTTTCTACACGGGATACAAATTAAACTCAGAGAAAAAAGTCAGAAATCCTGGCCAGCACACTTGTTCTGGGTCACAGAGTATTAATATAAAAGCCAAACAACTAGCTCTTTGCCAATATCCATCTATGTTTTTCTTACATTAAAATGCTAAATCATTTTATTAAATGTATACATGCTACATCTTCTGTATTGCTAGGTGAAGCTTACCATTTACCAAAGCGAGACACAGAAGTCCTCACGAGAGGAGGACTTGTTGCCCCCATACAAAACTTGCATGAAGTGCTCAAAAGTAAAAACCAAGAAATGGTCACCTCACTATGAAGTAAACCCGATACCTGGGAAATAAATAAAATGCTCACTGGGTTGCTTGAGTCGGAGCTCCATGGCAGGCCCATTAGACTTTTCTTTCCTGCCGTCACACAGCAGTTTTTCACGCTCCTTTTCAGTCCTATACTCGTGCAACTGGATCTGCGCCTGCCTATAGATCCTCAGGAGCCGAGAGCACAGTGTGTGGTGAAGCCGAAGAAAGAAATACCAGTTATTATTAGCAAAGAGCAAGCTGTACATCTCCTCTGTTGTCTTAGGAGGTGGTTCTGGGGGAGAGCGTGTTGGGGTAGTGGGTTCCTGAGGCACTCCAGGATTTGCCGCTTTTCTGCGGCGTTCAGGAAGTTCTGTTACAGAAGGGTCTGGGACTGTCTCTGTAGGGGTATCCTCAGTGTTGGAGCCAAGTAAGGACTGAAATGTAGAAGTGGAGGGGGAGAAAAACAGTTCAGGGATAAACTGATGTAAGATTTGTCGGATAGTGTCTTTATCTTCCTTCTGAATAGCAGGTTGTCGTTTCACATAGTAGCTAACCAAAGATGCAGCATCTTCCAGAATCTGCCAGTCCTCATAGGTATAAATGAGATGTGGACCACTGGATGCATTTGGCCTTGCGTCAGGATGTTGTTCCTGGTGCTGTCAAAAGAGATGAACAAAAAAATTGTATCAACCACTTCCAGTCCGGACTTTTACCCCCTTCCTGTCCAGGCCAATTTTCAGCTTTAGCACTATCACACTTTGAATGACAATTGCGTGGTCATGCAACACTGTACTCATATGAATTTTTTAGCATTTTTTTTGAGACAGATAAAGCTTTATTTTGGTGGTATTTATTCACCACTGGGAGTTTAATTTTGTTTGCTATGTAAATTAAAAAGTCCAAAAATTTTGAAAAAAAAAGTTTTTCTTATAAAATTTTGCAAATAAATAGTATTTCATCATAAATCTTGGCCAAAATTTATTCCGTTATATTTTTAGTAAAAAAAAATAACCCAAATTAGTTTATAACCAAAAATTATCATTTTTAAATTTTTTTTATTTTATTTTTACATACTGTCACCCTAGCAGTATAGTGTCACCATGGTGACACTGTACTACTGGTTGGGGGGTGATGAAGATTTTTTTTTTTTTTTTTTACACCGATTGCTTTTACACCATAAAGGCTGTAAAAGCAATCATTTATCCTTCTCTCTAGCTGCATTCTTGCAGCTATTGAGAACTACTGAGTGAGCTGTGATTGGTCACAGCTTGTCACATGGTACAAGGCTGTTGTGAATAGCCTTGTACCATGTGACCTCTGTGATCATTCACAGATTTCACACGTAGTATGCAATGATGTCACGAGTGACATCTTGCTTACTACTCTGCATGTGATCACGGATTGGCCAATCAGTGATCACATGATCGGGATCTCGCACAGAGGTCCCATCTGACGATCGGTGTTCCACTGTGTCTGGAGGACACAATTGGCACCGGATCGCGGTGCTGCATGCTCCCAGGGAACGCGCGCAAGCCTTGTGCAGCGAGGCCATTTATAAATGGCCACCCATCCCTGCACTGCCACCGTCCGGCCATTTATATACAACGGCCGGACAGGAGGTGGTTAAGATTTGTTTTAATGAAAGCTATAAGAAGGGTGATTGCTGTTTAACCCCTTCGTGCCTAAGGATAAAACAAATCTTAACGCCCAAGCATAATTTTGCAATGTTGACATGTTAGTATAACTGTACATATCACAACTACTTTGTGCATCCAGGTGGAATATACCACATTTTTTCAGGACAAATTGGGCTTTCATTTGGTGGTAAATGGTGATGGATATCTCCTGATTTTTTTAATTTAGCTGTATATTTCTTGCTACTACCATGACCTACCACCAAAGAACAACCCAAACTAATTTCTCCTGCTCCTGACGATTGCAGTTATACCACTAGTGTTATGTTACTTGTTTTCTGTACCCAGAGTACAGCCCAGAAACAATAGTGCACATTGTTCTTTTTTCCCATCCTGACCCCGATACTAATATAAAAAAAAATTAAAAAAATCCTGACCAAAAAAAAAAACAAACAAAAAACTGACCCCCGACCCTTGCCCCAAACACGAACCATGGCAGAGACCTACGTCAAACATTGATCTAAATATTTTTGTTTATCTTTTACACACATACTTGTTTTTTTTCTCTCCGAAAGGACAGAGAGAGATACAATGTATAATATAATGCATATAATGATACAATGTATCTCTCTCCTCCATTCAAGAGAAAACATGCACAGGCTTCAGAGTGACTGATCACTGTGATAGCCAAGCAGAGGCTATCACAGCGATTAGGTGACCCGGAATCGAGAGTTCCAGGTCCCAATTGTTAGAACGGGATCCAGAGCTCTCAGTGACACCCCAGTCCTTGTTCTGGGAGGGCGCCTTGTGCGTGCTCCAAGTAGAGAGACAGGTACTCAAATTAGCGGCCCCACTGAAAAAAAAAAAGCCAAGTTCTGTGAGGCTGCTGACTTGCGTGTGGTTGGCGTCAAGGGGTTAAAGATGACATTCTGGCACCTGGAGCAAGCAGCTCTCAGCAGGTCACCAAAATAAAGCATCGATGTCTGCCATTACTGAGCTAATCAGCCCTAAAAGCAGGATTAACATATACAGCTGTGTTCAAAATAATAGCAGTCAGACATCACTAACCTGATCAATCACTGTTTTTGGTAGAAATGATATTTCTACATGGCAAATAATTTACTATCCGGTGTAGTAGAGTAATAGAAATCCAACAGACCCAACAGTCATGACATGCATGCTGCTGATTCTGTGTAATTGAATCACTAATTGAAAGGGGCATGTTCAAAATAATAGCAGTGTGGAGTTCTATTAGTGAGGTCATTCATTCTTTGAAAAAACAGGTGGCAATTATTGCCCTTATTTAAGGAAGGAAGGCAGCAAATGTTGTACATGCTGGTTACAGTGCATTTCTCTCTGAAATTCTGAGGAAAAATGGGGTCGTTCTAGACATTGTTCAGAAGAACAGCGTACCATACAACTAAATATTAAGTGATTCAAAGGAAAGCAAAATCTTAAAACATTTTTCAGTTTATATAATGAATGTTTGAGTTTGTAAAGAAGAATACAAACACTGCTATTTTTTTGAACAGTCTAAATATTCACTTTTCTTCAATTTTTGTTAGAGAACAACAACACAAATTTGATACATTTTTCTTCATGTTTTGATTTGGAATATAATGTGTAGTGTTCCCAATGCATTTGTGTGTATGGAAATAAAAGCTATTAGAAGGATTTTGAGCTTTATTCACTTTTTTCAACACACTGCTATTATTTTGAACACAACTGTAATACTGTATTCTCAAAAGAGAACATTTAGATACTGCTGGAATTCTTGGTGAACAGAGATATACTATATTGACAAGTATTGGGACACCCCTCCTAATCATTGGATTCAGGTGTTCCAATCACCTCCATGGCCACAGATGTATAAAATCAAGTATCTAGGCATGCAGACTGCTTCTACAAACATTTGTGAAAGAATGGGACGCTCTCAGGAGCTCAGTGAATTAAAGCGCAGTACCGTGATAGGTTGCCACCTGTGCAATAAATCCATCTGTGAAATTTCCTTGCTACTAAATATTCCACGGTCAACTGTTCGTGGTATTATAACAAAGTGGAAGCAACTGGGAACAACAGCAATGAAGTGGTAGGCCACGTAAAATGACAGAGGGGGGGGGTCAGCGTATGCTGAACTGCACAGAGGTCGCCAACTGTCTGCAAAGTCAAAAGCTAAAGACCTCCAAACTTCATGTGGCCTTTATATTAGCACAACAGTGCTAGAGGGCGTCATGAAATGGGTTTCCATGGCCGAGTAGCTGCATCCAAGCCTTACATCACCAAGTGTGTTGCAAAGCATTGGATGCAGTGGTATAAAGCACACCGCCACTGGACTCTAGAGCAGTGATGTGTTCTCTGGAGTGACCAATCACACTTCTCTGTCTGGCAATCAGATGGATGCGTCTGGGTTTGGCGGTTGCCAGGAGTAAATGGTGCTTTCCCCTTCTGATGATGTACATGTGATACAAAACGCACGTCAAGGAGGAGCCCCTGCTAGCCGTGACGTCAAGCCGCCAGATCAAGGAGGTCCAGCGGCCACCCTTTACTACCAGCTGGTCAGTGTTCATGTTTTTTTGCTGCATTCTACCAGTATTGCATCCATTGTGCACAAGGATGATTTTGTACTCCAGTACTTAAAAAGTGTGTTTATATCTTAAATTTTTAAAAAATTCATTTCCACTTTGGATCAAATTACTACACCATGGGTACTTTTTTCTGCTCTACGTTGAGCATTTAACCCCCCCAGGACCACCAGGTGACAATCCCAGGGCCCAGAGGAGAGCTGTACTCAGCAGATCCCATCTGTAGCCAGGCTTTTTAAAGGGGATCTCTAGGAGTTTACCATCCTGAGGAGTTGTCCATTCCAGGCTACATTCCATCCATGATTGAGGGGACTTCTGTTGCATATGACATAAATGCGCATTTACATTGCGCCTCTGGTGAGTGTGCAATTTACTCATTATTCCTGCACCACACCGGATCACAGTTGTCACTGGGATTTAATCAAGTCACCTCTATTCAATCCACTTGTGATTTCATCACCACCAAATATTGTTTGGACTGTTACCTGCACTGTGTATTATGAAACTTTGGAATGTGTTTAGTATAATTTAACCACTACACTGCTGTTTATGACATCATTTATACACTGTGTCGTCTATAATACTGGTGATTTTGGGCATTTCTGTATCACTTTGTATTTACTATAATAGGTGGGCCCATACACATCATTCCGAGCGCGCTGCACTATATATGTTAAGATTATTTTGGAAGGTTTTATGGTTTCCCTTTTTAGTGTATCAGCTGCTGTTTCTCTTTAGCACTAACTGAACTCCCATTTATTTACAGGAGAATGGTACTTGCTTGACTGCATTGTGCCAAGCGTAACGTTTGGTGGAGGGGGGATTATGGTGTGGGGTTGTTTTTCAGGGGTTGGCTTGGCCCCTTAGTTCCAGTGAAGGGAACTCTTCAGGCGAAGCACACCAAGACATTTTGGACAATTTCATGCTCCCAACTTTGTGGGAACAGTTTGGGGATGGCCCCTTCCTGTTCCAACATGCTGCGGACCAGTGCACAAAGCAAGGTTCATAAAAAACATGGATGAGCGAGTTTGGGGTGGAGTAACTTGACTGGCCTACACAGAGTCCTGACCTCAACCTGATAGAACACCTTTGGGATGAATTGGAGCAGAGACTGAGCCAGGCCTTCTTGTCCACATCAGGCGTTGTAAAGGCAGGCGTCCCAATTACTTTTGGCAATATAGTGTATATAAATATATGAGGTGTACTTTAAAGTCTGGTACACACATTGGAGTTTTTTTCTCGATGAACCCAGCGGGCTGAAAAACCTAGGACAAAAAACAAACAAACAATGAGCTGACTTAAGCTGGCCATACAGTATAGGACCAGCTCCCAGCATGGTTGGACAAATGTGCAGTGGTTGTTACTGTATTCTGACAGTTGGCAACGACGGCTGTCAGAATACCTGAGTAGTGCCTGCATCTGATTGGATGCAGGCTCTTTTTGACCAACAATTTCCAGCCCAGCTCCTCTGACAAAACATGATATAAAAAAACAAACTTTTGTTGAGTAGGAAGGTGTCAACAGAACAAATTCCTTCCGTTTCAGCTGAAATTCAATCCATATATAGAGTCAGGACAAAGAATTTGTCTCTAGGAGAATAGCAAGGCATGCAGCATATCTCTGCATTCTGCAAATAGATCCATTATATTATATGAACATTATATGAGAAAACACAACACATCCAATGAACTAAAAAGGCATAACTGTGTTTCTGTACCTATGAAAACTACCCCTTCCCCCTTGCTGCCAGCTCCAGCCAGCCCTTTCAAGAGGATCTTCACCTTAGAAAGAAAAAATTAAAAGTTAGCAGCTACAAATATTGTAGCTACTGACTTCTAATAAAAAGGACACTTACCTGTCCAGGGATCCAGCGTCATCTTCACCCAGGCTGGTTCTTTGCCGGTCTTTGGGTCCCCGGCATGTTTACTGTGGGAAGCTGGCTGTGACTCCTTGCGGCTTTACAGCTGGCTTCCCATCTGTGACATGTCCAAGATGGCTCCGAGCAAAGAGGGGGCCAAACTGTCAATATCAGGTATACCACCTACCTCATCATAGACACTCTCAATTTCATTTAGCAGACTCTTTGAGCGAAGAGCCTTTGTGTCATTCTGCTTAAAGTTAACAGCCTGGTGATCAAGAGATTTCAGGTACGCTCTTTCATACTGTTCTCGCCAAGTCTTATTAAATCCTTGCTGAGCTTCTCTCCACTCCTCTTCTTTTGCTTTTAATCTGTAGCACAGAATACAAAGATTTGTTAAATTAACAATATACATATTTTTCCAAACTGACCATCAGTCGGGTGTAGGTACATTCATGAAAAGGTAAAGCTTGACCATTTCAAAATCTTAGTGGTAACAGAACAAGATGTCAGGCTTTGCCTGACAGTATTGCTGAAGCAATGGTATGTGTAACCCCTGCAAATATATATGGCTGCCATAGTAAGTACAGTTCATAGACTACAGGTTAAGCAAAATATAAACAATATTTGGACCAATAAAAATAAATAAAAAAAAAAAAAAAAAGGAAGGAAGAAGTACACACATTTGGTGCCAGTATATCACCAATGGCATGCATTAACACTATTAAGCTACACTATGGTGTTTAAAATTTGCTCAATAACTAAGGGGCTTAAAGTGTGTTAAGAAAACATTCCCCTCACAATAAAACAATCAGAGCCCGAACCACTAACATGTGAATGAAGGGATCGGAGATTCCCCGACGTACAAAACACTATCAGACCTGGAAAAGTTTTTCCAACCTTCCGTCATAACGTAGCTTATTTCCCGGTTCTTGGCTCCTGGGGGAATGGGGTACTAGCTCTAGTCTTCTGCGCCAAGGTTAGACATACTGGGGATGATTTACTAAAACTGGAGAGTGCATTATCTGGTACAACTGTACATGGTAGCCAATCAGCTTCTAAATTCAGCTTGTTCAATAAAGCTTTGACAAAAAAAACAAAAAACAAAGTGGATTCTATGCAGAGCTTCACCAGATTTTGCACTTTTGCACTCTCCAGTTTTAGTAAATCAACCCCACTGTGAGTTCAAAGTTTGCATTCTGCATACCACAGAGGTAAAGACTTTTTGCCAGATTAGTAAGGCCAGTCACTTAATTCTTGCAGGATGTTCTTTTTGCACTATTCTCTTTAACAAACAGCATAATCTAGATCCTGTAGGAGTGAAAAGATTACAGTTTCTGTGATACTGCAACCACTATATCTGCCACTATCATTCCACCACAAAAGAAAGCATTATACAGTGCACTGCGTAGAATGAAAACATTTACAGTTATGCTCAAATGTTTGCATACCCTGGCAGAAATCATGAAATTTTGGCTTTACTGTTGAAAATATCACTGATCATGCCAAAAACTGTCTTTTATTTAGTAATAGTGATCATATGAAATCCTTTATTATCACACAGTTGTTTGACTCCTTTTTAAATCATAATTATAATGGAAATCACCTAAATGGCTCTGATCAAAAGTTTACATACCCTGGAATGTTTGGCCTTGGTACAGACACACAAGGTGACGCACACAGGTTAAAATGCCAATTAAAATGTACCTAAAATGTGAATGTACATGAATGCATTAGGAGAGGTGATAGAAATGAGAGGAGTCATTGCAGGCATATATTACAATTATACCGAAAGAGGGGAAAAACAGTGTGCCAGTTTATAGACCCATATCTCTATTAAATATAGATACAAAATTATATGCAAAGGTTTTAGCAAATAGGATGAAAGAGTTGATGCCAAAGTGGATACATTTAGATCAGGTGCGTTTTATCCCAGGGAGGGAAGGAAGGGATAAGGATTAAGATCTTTGCCTCTTTTCCAAAAAAGTAAGAATGAAAGTCACCCAATGTTAGCCTTGCTGATTGAGGCCGAAAAAGTCTTTGATAGGGTAGATTGGGGTTTTAATGATTGATACATTGGATGTTATGGGAATTGGCCCTAAAATGGACAACTATATAACCTTTTTATCCATTGTACCATCAGCAGCAGTTAAAGTTAATGGTACAGTGTCGCAGTCTTTCAAAATGTATAACGGAACAAGGCAGAGATGTCTGCTCTCCCCCCTACTGTTATATCCCTGGAATCGCTTTTAGTGACTGTATGACGGAATATAGATGTAAAAGGGAATCTCAACAGGAGACGTAGAACATAAGGTCGCAGCATATGCAGATGACATGTTATTTTACATTGTAAACCCCAGGGTAACTCTACCCAACTTAATGAAAGTTTTAAAATATTATGGAGAGTTATCAAATTTGAAAATTAAACCAGCGAAGTCAGAGATATTAAATATTAATGTTCCTAAGACAGATAAGCAGATATACAGAATGTCTTCCCCTTTGTATGGAGGGAAAAAGAATTGAGATACTTTGGTGAAAAGTTAACCCCTTCCTTAAAGAACATATCAGATAAATTATACTCCATTAATAAAATGAGATAAAGGATGAATTGAGGAAAATATCACTCTCGTGGATTGGTTATATAAATAGGCTAAAGGACGGTGATAGTGCCCAAAATTCTGTATAAATTTTCATATGCTTTCAAAACATTTGCTGGGGTCATTATTTGATCAAAAAAAAAAGATACTAAAATATATATGAGTAAATAAAAAACTAAGCGTTAAACACAAGGTTTTGTGTAAAGATAGAATTAATGGAGGTTTAAAACACGCAAGATTTTAGCAGATATTATTGTTCAGTGCTGATCTCACGAATAGCAGACTAGATATACAATTCACCGGGGGGTAAGCTGGGTAAAGATAGAAAGCACAATTCAATATTATTTGGCTTCCACAACAGTTTAGAATTTTCTCTGAAAACACAAGTATTTTAACACGGAATGTTTTTAGGGTATGGGATAGAATTCACAAACAAAGGGGGTGGGAGTATAATTCACTGCTAATACATGGGGGGGGGGGGGGGTTAGGGAGACAGAATATTTCAGGTAAATGGATTAAAAATAGGAATGCAAGTTTAAAAGATATCACCGATAAGGGGGAATTGTGTTCTTTCTCGGGGGTGAAAGGAACAATGGCTCATATATAGTGGGACTGTCCCAAAATACAGGAATTTTGGCAAGGAATAATACAACAAATACAGAAAATAAAGGGGATTAGTATACTGAAGGATCCTTGGGTCTGCTTATTTCACAAATCTGAGCTTATGGGTGAAACAATATAAGAATACGATGGTATTTTATTTAATAAATGCGGCAAAAGGACTGATCCCCAAATTCTGGCAAATACATGAAACCCTGAAAATAAAAGATTGGATAAATAGGAGTGGAGTTTATATATAAGCTGGAGGAACTACACCATATTGGAGAGGATAAAATTGAAAAGTTTAGGAAAATTTGGTATAAAAAGATTTTCAGAACTGATCTGTGTGTAAAAGAGGGGTAGAGAGAAGATGGAAATGATGGGTTTTTTTTTGGTAGGTAGGGAAGGGGAGCAGTGTGACGAAGAAAGACCTTAGGAGTAAAATAGAGGAACGGGAAGAAAGAGGAAATGGGGAGAGGTGACCGGTGGGGGGGTAGAAAGGAGGGGAAGGGATTTTGTAAAATTATATATGGAGATTGTGTCACTGTAATGTTCGAAAAAAATTTGATGTATTTATAATATACACTCAGTAAAAATATAAATAAAAAAAAAAGTTAATTTCCCACATCTGTGGCTTTTTAAATTGCAATTAGTGTGTATAGTCAATAAGTTTGTTAACTCTCACGTGGATGCACTGAGCAGGCTAGATACTAAGCCATGAAAAGAAAAGAACTTTCAAAAGACCTGCATAACAAGGTAATGGAACTTTATACAAATGGAAAAGAATATAAAAAAAATATCCAAAGCCTTGAATATGCCAGTCAGTAATGTTCAAAACACTTACTGATAAGTGGAAAATTTGGGGATCTCGATACTATGGCAAGGTCAGGAAGACCAAGAAAGATTGTATCTCGAGCAATTCTTCTGGCAGTTGTGGCTACAAAGAAAACCTACAGGTAACCTCAGGAGAAATACAAGCTGCTCTGGAAAAAAGACAGTGTGGTTGTTTCAAGGAGCACAATATGATACTTTAACAAAAATAGAGTGCATGGCTGAGTTGCCAGAGACAAGCCTTTAGCAGGGACGGACTGACCATTTGCGAACTCGGGCACTGCCCGAGGGCCCGGGGTCAGTAGGGGGCCCTATGAGATGCCCCTGGTACCTTTCTTAGGCTTTTTGTAGTGTAGTTTGAGTGTGGGCAAGGACACAGGGGCCCCATGATCTCCTATTGCCCAGGGGCCCCATGAGTTGTCAGTCCGCCCCTGGCCTTTAGGGTTCAATTACACTTGCTTCGACACACGTAAAGTGCTACTGATTCAAAATGCTTTTGTGATGTGTTTTTGATGCTTCGGTGATTCTTTTTTGAAGCTTGGCAGATGTCCTGTGTGTGCTGATGTTAGATTTCTTTTAAAGAGGCCCTGTAGCACCTCAGCTGAGTAGTGCCCCCACTCAGCAGATCCCCTGCTTCTTAGTACTCCTATTCAACAGATTTCCAGCTTATTAGTATTGTCGCTCAGCAGATCCCCTGCTGAGTAGTAACCCCCAAGCTCTGCTGATTCCCCCCCCCCCCCACTAAGTAGTAACCCCAAGCTCTGCTGACCCCCCCACCCCCCACAGCAGTAACCCCCAGCTCTGCTGACCCCCCCCCCCCCCCTACTCAGCAGTAACTGCCAGCTCTGCTGATCCCCCCACTCAGTAGTAACCCCCAAGCTCTGTTGATTCCCCCCCCCCCACTAAGTAGTAACCCCCAGCTCTGCTGACCCCCCCCCCCCCCCCCACAGCAGTAGTAACCCCCAGCTCTGCTGATACCCCCCCCCTACTCAGCAGTAACCGCCAGCTCTGCTGATCCCCCCACTCAGTAGTAACTCCCAGCTCTGCTGCCCCCCCCCACCCCCCCACAGCAGTAACCCCCAGCTCTGCTGATCCCCCCCTACTCAGCAGTAACCGCCAGCTCTGCCGATTCCCCCCACTCAGTAACCCCCAGCTCTGCTGATCCTCCCACTCAGTAACCCCCAGAATATGTACATGAACCGGAAGTTACAGATGATGACATCTTTTTGGTTCGCTAGCTGGTCACCCAGTGCATACTGGGATATCTCATACCTGCAACACTTCCAAAACAAAACAAAGCTAAAAGCTGTATAAAAAAGACTCTCAAAAGCTGCAGTTACAAGCTTTGTCATAGGTTCTGAAGACGCTTTGAAGCACCATGAGTCTATGAAGACACTTTGAAGCACCATGAAAGCGATATGTGTTGTAATTTTTGAAGCAAAGCAAAAAACACAACCTGTGAACACGACTGGAAGCTAACCATTTTATTTAGTGGCAGGGGCTTTTGACTGGCATTCAAAATGCTTTTTGTTTTTTTTTTTGTTTGTTTTTTTAAAAAGTGTCCAATGGCACATTTTGAAGCATGTGTAAAACAAGCCCTTACTGCACTAATGCCAACAAAAAAGCCAGGTTACAACATACCAAACACCTTGACATGCCTCACAGCTTCTGGCACACTGTAATTGTAGTAGTGACGAGACCAAAATAGAGCTGTATGGTCACAACCATGGGCGCAATGTTTGGAGAGGAACAACAAGGCATATCGACAAGAGTACCACATCCCCACTGTGAAGCATGGTGGTGGCTCACTGACGTGTTAGGGGGTGTGAGCTCTATAGGCACAGAAAATCTTGTGAAAATTGATGGCAGCATGGTACCAGAAAATACTGGCAGACAATTTGTATTCTTCTGCGCAAAAGCTGCACATGGGACACTCTTGGACTTTCCAGCACGACAATGACCCTAAGCACAAGGTCAAGTTGACCCTCCTTTGGTTACAGCAGAAGAAGGTAAGTGTTCTGGAGTGGCCATCAGTCTCCTGACCTTAATATCATTGAGCCACTCCGGGGAGATCTCAAACGTGTGGTTCATGCAAGACAACTAAAGACTTTGCATAACCTGGAGGCATTTTGCCAAGAAAAATGGGCAACTATACCACCTGCAAAAATTCATTCAATATTACAAAAGACTGCATGCTGTCATTGCTGCTAAAGGAGGCAAAACACAGTATTAAGAACTATCGGTATGTAGAGTTTTGAACAGGGGTTGTTTACTTGTTGCCATATTTTGTCAGGTAAACCTACAAATGAATCTGAATCCCATAAGAAATAAAAGAAATGTGTTTTGCCTGCTCACTCATATTTTCTTTAAAAATTGGTGCATACTATTGCCAATTCTCCAAGGGTATGCAAACTTTTTAGCAAAAAACTGTAGATCCAATGAACAGAATACAGAGGAAAGGGCATCTGGTTAAGAGTTTAATTGCAATATAAGGAATTTAAGAGTTTTCCCAGCAAACTTATTTACAGGTGAAACTCGAAAAATTAGAATATCGTGCAAAAGTTAATTTATTTCAGTAATGCAACTTAAAAAGGTGAAACTAATATATGAGATAGACTCATTACATGCAAAGCAAGATAGTTCAAGCTGTGATTTGTCATAATTGTGATGATTATGGCTTACAGCTCACGAAAACCCCAAATCCACAATCTCAGAAAATTAAAATATTGTGAAAAGGTGCAATATTCTAGGCTCAAAGTGTCCCACTCTAATCAGCTAATTAAGCCATAGCACCTGCAAAGGGTTCCTGAGCCTTTAAATGGTCTCTCAGTCTGGTTCAGTAGGAATCACAATCATGGGAAAGACTGCTGACCTGACAGTTGTGCAGAAAACCATCATTGACACCCTCCATAAGGAGGAAAGCCTCAAAAAGTAATTGCAAAAAGAAGTGGATGTTCCCAAAGTGCTGTATCAAAGCACATTAATAGAAAGTTATGTGGAAGGGAAAAGTGTGGAAGAAAAAAGGTGCACAAGCAGCAGGGATGATCGCAGCCTGGAAAGTATTGTCAGGAAAAGGCCATTCAAACGTGTTAGGGACTTTCACAAGGAGTGGACTGAGGCTGGAGCCAGTGCATCAAGAGCCACCACACACAGACGGATCCTGGACATGGGCTTCAAATGTCATATTCCTCTTGTCAAGCCGCTCCTGAACAACAAACAACGTTAGAAGCGTCTTACCTGGGCTAAAGAAAAACAGACCTGGTCTGTTGCTCAGTGGTCCAAAGTCCTATTTTCTGATGAGAGCAACTTATGCATCTCATTTGGAAACCAAGGACCCAGAGTATGGAGGAAGAATGGAGAGGCACACACTGCAAGATTCTTGAAGTCCAGTGTGAAGTTTCCACAGTCTGTGTTGATTTAGGGATCCATGTCATCTGCTGGTGTTGGTCCACTGTGCTTCATTAAGTCCAGGGTAAACGCAGCCATCTACCAGGAGATTTTGGAGCACTTCATGCTTCCTTCCGCAGACGAGCTTTATGGGGATGCTGACTTCATTTTCCAGCAGGACTTGGCACCTGCCCACACTGCCAAAAGCACCAAAACCTGGTTTAATGACCGTGGGATTACTGTGCTTGATTTGCCAGCAAACTCGCCTGCCCTGAATCCCATAGAGAATCTATGGGGCATTGCCAAGAGAAAGATGAGAGACATGAGACCGAACAATGTAGAAGAGCTGAAGGCCGCTATTGAAGCATCCTGGTCTTCCATAACACCTCAGCAGTGCCACAGGCTGATAGCTTCCATGCCACACTGCATTGAGGCAGTAATTGCTGCAAAAGGGGCCCAAACCAAGTACTGAGTACACATGCATGCTTATACTTTTCAGAGGCCTGATATTGTTCTATGTAAAATCCTTGTTTTATTGATTGCATGTAATATTCAAATTTTCTGAGATTGTGGATTTGGGGTTTTCATGAGCTGTAAGCCATAATCATCACAATTATGACAAATCACGGCTTGAACTATCTTGCTTTGCATATAATGAGTCTATCTCATATATTAGTTTCAGCTTTTAAGTTGCATTACTGAAATAAATTAACTTTTGCACGATATTCTAATTTTTTGAGTTTCACCTGTATGTATTTGTTCATTTATCCCTAACGTTGCTCAGCCTCCTTCGATTTGCTTTGTTTTGTTGACCCCTTATCCTCTTACCTCTTTAACACAACAGGTACTGCAGTGACTGGGTTTTTCTTGAGGCTTTCAATGATATCTGGAGCTTTGTCCCCATATATGCGGTAGATGGCCCGCCGCTGAATGACTTCAGATGTTCCACCCAAGCAGTCATCTAGCCGAAACTTTTCCTGATCTTCTGCAGACATGCGAGAAAGTTTCTTTTGAACACTCTCCAGGACACGGATTGTTGCCAAATTTGTTTCCAATACAACATCAAGCTGGAGAAGGAAAAAAAAAAAAAAAAAAAAAACATACAAAATTAAATAGCAAGTAGATCAGATAAAAAGACAAATATTTGGGGATCCATTCATCATGACCTTCAAGCTGTTAACCCTTTCTGAAGCTCTAACACTGGTAAAACTTCTGAATGATTTCCTGGTTTACCTGACCACCTACCCACACACAGGAGGGGATGTAAACCCCGAACGGTGAAGTAAGTTGTTTTTATTTGAACTTTAAATTTGAGAAGCCTGTTACAACTAGGCCAGTTTGCTTGAAACACCACAATTTATGCTGCTCTAAGTTTAGGATACAAGCATATTTCTGCATCATATGAGATTGTTTGGACTTCCATTTACCTCACTGCATTTCTGATGTACAAAATAAGTGGTATTGCATTAACAGTTTTACCACAGAGTAACAAGTATATACACTGTCCGGTTATACTTTTGGTTGTTGTCCCTCCAAATTAATCTAAAGCCTTTCCTGTAGTTCCATCTTTTCCCACCACCAATCCACAAAACAACGAGGAAACTATATCTATCTATCTATCCATAGATAGGTAGGGTCAGCACACTTTTAGAGATCGCTCAAAAATGCATAATCTGACTGTATAGTCTGACCACTTCTCACTGGCGCTCCCTCTAAATATCTGCATAAGAGCATCTTGGTATACAGTTCTTCATAATTTTTTTTTTATTTCACATCTTATTCAACATATATATTTTTACAAACTATCCCTATAAATCCTCATGAACTTGTAATATTCGACTGAAGGACTGTGGTTTACTTCAGATTCTGATGTAGATTGGTTTCTCAAAATGGACTTTTAAGCCAGTCATACATGGATCGAAATTTGGCTGGTTTGACAGGGACTGGTAGAATTTCGATCCATGTATGGGCCAGGCTGGTTATACAGAAGTTGATCTACCAATGAACTTTTCTACTACCAGTCTGTTGGAAAATTTCTGCATGATCAACACCACTGGATATAGCCAGCAGTGCTGATCAGTGTATTCTGATGGTGGGGACTTCTCCTTCCTCAAAATGTGTTGATGGGGGAATCAAAAGTCATTTTTTTTTCCTTTCAACTCAGATTGAAAAAAAACAAATATATGGGCTGCCTTATAGGACTACTTTCAACATTATAAGCATCTCCAAGATACATATGTTCCTCACCCCAGACACCACTAAACAAGTTGTACACTCCCTTTTTATCTCACGCCTGGACTACTGCAACTCCCTTCTCACTGGCCTACCCAAACACATGCTATCCCCGCTCCAGACTATACTCAACTCAGCGGCTAGACTCATCCACCTCACCAACCGCTCCACTTCTGCCAATTCCTGTCCTTCACTGGCTCCCGATTGCCCAACGCATCAAATTCAAATTACTAACTCTGACATACAAAGCCATTCATAACGCTGCCCCAAACTACCTCACTGACCTGATACCAAATACCACCCTACCCGTGCCCTTCGCTCCTCACAAGACCTCCTACTCTCTAGCTCCCTGGTCTCCTCCTCCATGCCCGACTGCAGGACTTCTCCAGGACTTCCCCCATCCTCTGGAACTCCCTACCCCAATCCATCAGACTGTCACCTACCCTCCTCACCTTTAGGCGCACCCTGAAAACCCATCTCTTCAGGGAAGCCTACCCCACCCTCACCTAACAGCCGTTCTCCTCCACTCCTCCTACCACTCTATCCCCCACAGCCACTTCCTCCTGTACCTCTACCCCCTCCCTCCTAGATTGTAAGCTCAAAAGAGCAGGGCCCTCGAACCCCTCGTGTATTGTATTGTTACTGTATTGTCTCATGTACTGTCCCCCCCACTCTAATGTACAGCGCTGAGCAAACCCTTTGGCGCTAAACACTGTATAATAATAATAATGAGCAACTGTCACTCAAGCAGGGCTTGTCAAAATTATTTCAAACTTTTGGAACACTATTTTTCAGGATTTACCAGAAAAAAAGTTGTAGCCATTAAATATTCCTTTTGAGCAGGTGCTGATAATAAAGTGGTTAGAAGGCGAAAGACACAATACGATGCCTGATGTTTAAAAAAACAATTAGAAGTATTGGGCATTGCCATGTGGGAGGCGTGAGTGAAGGGGGTTTATGCAAACACTGACTTTTACCTGCTTTTAGCAGGACTTTGCTGTTACTGTAAGGATATATAAGCTGCACTGTGCACGATGTAGAAAAGTTTAAAGATTGAATGATAAAACATGAAACTGAATAAGTATAATATAAAACAGTTTTTTTTTTTTTTTTTTAACTGGTTGACTTAGTAATAGAGAAATCCTCAACTGTGCAAGCACTTATAAAAACACAGCTATGTTAAAAATGGTCTTTGAATACAAAACATAGAAGCTGAAGAGTATAGAGTAAAGCCCCATTCACGCCTGTGCATTCCCAGAATGCACAAAAATGTGAATGGTGGCTAAATTATTATATGGTAAATAGTTCACAAATATATATTCTGGCATATATTTGCTTACATCACAGGGTTATAGCAGGTCCAGACAAAACAACAAGGCATAATAAGAGAAGCTAATGTCTCACCACCTCTTACTCAGTAAGATATCTGCCAGTCTACACCTAAACGCTCCAGTGAATGCCAATTTGGCCCAACTAGATATCTACATTTATATCCAAGCTGTAAAGAATTCTCTTTGTACTCCAGCGCAACGATCCCATTCTATCATTTATGCAGTCATGGTTGCAAAACAAAAAATCTGATCGGTTGTGTTGGCAATTGCTACATACACATTCATAAATGAGGCCAAGCTAACTTTTTTTTTAGCTATATTATCAAAAAAGCATTAACATTTAATTACCATTCCAGTCACACTTCACATAGAATTAATATGGCACATATTATATTTTTTTTTTCTTGCCATGATGAAAAAAAAAGTCTTCCTTCTTTTCCAGGTTAAGCAGTGTAGATTACACGGTTTCTGGCTAACATTCACAATTACAGAGTCTATAGCCCTTTAACACTAAACAAAGTGTTAGTACTATGTCATATCAGAAAAGAAAGGGGGGGGGGGGGGGGGGGGGGGGAGAAGTTCACAAAATAAAAGAATGCTAAAAAGGGAATCTATAGTTTATTATTGTTGTTGAATGCATAGTTATGGTCAGGACTAAAAAAGGTTAATACATTTTTATTTCTTTAGGAATCTAAATATGAAATATTGCATATATTTGGCCTTATACCCAGCCAGCAGGTGGAGTACCCAACTCCTTTTCATGTCTAGGTAGCCCATAATACTCTGGAAATCCTATATTAAAGCTGAAGTCTGAACTACTTTTATTTTAACTTCTTTGTTTTTGAAAAAAGCCAATTAGCCCTAATTAACTACTTTATCTTTCTGCTTTTATCAGATATTTTGATAATTCTTCAAAAAGTTTACATTAATTTCTTTAGTTTTTTTTTTGCAGGAGATACCTTTGCCAAGCTCTGTAGAAACATGGTTATATTTTGGTGTTACGATAAGAAATTGCAAGCTAAAATTAGCACTTTTTTTTTCTTGCTTTAAAGAACTTCCAGTCAAAAGCCAACTAAACTAAAATCTACTCCAGTCACGTGATCGGGTCCCAGCACTGGCTTCGGTTTAGAACGGCTGCCCATAGTAAGTCTATGCGTGACGTCATTGCAAAGGCTCTGCAGCTGTTTGCGAGTTCTCCTCTACACTGAAGCCACTGCTAAAGAGATCATGTGACGGACCAGACAGATTTCAAAATAGGCAAGTATACAGATATACCTTTTATAGGGTAGATATAATTGGCTTAGAATGGGGAGGAGAGTAGATTTAAGAATAGTTAGGTTTTTACTGGAATTACACTTTAAAAATAACTTGAAAATTAATTATTTAAACACAAGACCATCACACAGCAATACATGCCTCTCTATGTATCACAATATTAAAAGGAACGAATATAATGCTGAATTATTAGCTCAGTCACTGAAAATGAGAATGGCTCAGGTGCTCAACAGGTTAAAAATCAGTCAGTCATTTACAATACTGTAATCCACCAGGATAGGAAATGCTTTTCTGTATTCTTCATTCAGAAATGTGAGCATGTAACCCACCTCAAACCTCTCATCTTCACAACGGTGAAGCTGCTCTTCATATGGGGTCTTCTTAGAACTGACAAAAGTAGAGTCCTCAGACCATGCAGGAAAGGACACCCAAGTGTCATTTAACACCTGCAACAAATGCAAAACAAACAGGTGCTAAATTATGACTGTAGTATAAAGGGAAAAAAGCAAAAGTTAAACAAAATCAGCCTGTAAAAAATCTATGACTGTGTAAGTGTAAGAGGAAAAAAAAAAAAAAAAGAAAAAAAAAAGCAGACTGTTAAATATTTGTTGTAACTGAAAAAAACAAAACCAGGAAAAAGTCAAGTCAAAATACTTTGCTTACACCCAAAGCTCTTATCAGCTTGTCTAGGGGAGAAGGAAATCACACAAGTTGACTTCTAAGATCCTGCTAAAAATCCCAAATGGTGTGAGAAGTTGTTCCACCACTGTGCAGAAGAATCTTTCCACAAGATTTAGGCTCCTTGTCATTCCCAGACTACTGGGGGGGGAGGGGGGGGTGCTAAATGAATAAATTAATTCATGTGTAAGAGGAGTACCTTTTCCTAAGGACATGCGGGGCACTGCCCAGGGGTCTTATCCCTGCTCCTGGCTAAATTAATTAATGTGTAGGAGGAGTAACTTTTCCTAAGGACATGCGGGGCGCTGCCCAGGGGTCTTATCCCTGCTCCTGGCTAAATTAATTAATGTGTAGGAGGAGTAACTTTTCCTAAGGACATGCGGGGTGCTGCCCAGGGGTGTTATCCATGCTCCTGGTTTCGTAACTGCAACATACTGGAGGCCCCATAATAATGACATTTCTTTCATTTGGGTTTATTTTTGCGAGAGGCGATTGTGCAAGATGTGTGTCCCTTTAAGTATACTATGGCAGTTTCTAGTGTTATTAATTGATTTCAGTATATAAAAGGCCACCCTCATTTCTACGATCAAAGAAGAATTCCAGGATAGGCAAAAAGAAAAAAAAAAAAGAAGAAAAATCACCCATTAGTACACCCTGCCGAACGAAACAGTTAATAAAATTTTGAAAATCCCTACCATTCAGCAGAGTATCTGCTCTGCCAAGGAAGAGGTGTAACAGTAGGGATTACATCATATCCTCTCTCTGCAGTAAAAGGAAGCTACAGTTCCCATCAACCACATGAAGTGTAGTGAATGTGGGTGGGTACACTAGGCCTGTACATGTTTAATGTTTCTGAGAGTCTTGGTTCGCCCACCACTGCAAGTGGGGCTAGTATACATAACTGCTTCCTGCAGAAAGAACTACAGAAGGGATGTGCCAAAACCAGTGACTGGGGGAATAGGATGCATAGCAGCCACTGGTCTTATAAAAAAGGAAATCAAAGAGAATTAATAGTTTGCTTTGAATTCAAATAGGCTATTTCAGAGCAACTACTGAGTGAACCAGAAGGATGATCTATTCAGTGAAGGTAGGAAATCAGCAACAAGGACATGTAAAGAAATTTTTGCTCAGAGTTCTGCTTTAAGCTCACTGGGATGAAAGGCATCAGAGAGGGGTGGTACCTGGGCAGGGACACGAGGCATCATGCATAATGTTCACAGGTAAACAAACACCCTAAAACTATCTTATTCCTGGGACTTTGGATAAAGAAAATGTAGCAACTTCAATTTCCCAAAATACTACAAAAACTCTGTCTTGCCTGCAGTAAATAATCAATCCAACTATAGTGCCAACATTAAAAACATGGCAAAGAATTTATGGAACGGTGAAGTCAAAATTCCCAGTGGTAACCAGAGTTCATTCCTTAATGTGAAGATGCATAGCAAATGGACTGGTCTGTCTTTCTAAATTTAGAATGATTCACAGTGGTTCACTTACAGTTACCATTATTTTGGATGCACCTACCTCTTTGCAGACAGCAGTCCTTCCACTGCATTTCGGCTGCTGATAAGTCTTAGGAAGCGCTCTGTAGCTGGAACCAATGCGTTTACAGGAGGCGTAATCAATTTCCCTCCCTATTCCTTCATTAGACCGGTCACTGGTTACCGGTGAGGCAAAAGAAAGCTCTTTAACACCCAAGAAAGATTTAAATTGAGCAAAGAGCTCAGGGAACTTCCTGTATAAAAAAAACAAAAAACACACACATAAGCTTTAAGTTGAGCACTCCAGGCTTAGAAAAGTGGTACAAATCAGACACTTTTCACATAGAAGCTCCAATTTATTTAACCATAATTGCTTAGTATTATTGATACTATTACTGCTGCTCTGTCTAAAGATTATAGATATCATAAAAACTGCAGAAGAAGTTGTGAAAATCCCTCACACACACCAATAGTCTGTGCACAGTCCTCTTCTGACCTGCTCTAAAGCAGCTTCTGTGGAATCTTATACCACAATCCATCAGAAGCATTACTTCACTTGTATGATTCGTCCTGCACATATGTAAGCTGTTATACCATACCTTTCCACCATTGGTGAGATACAGGGGTTAGACAAAATTATGGAAACACCAGGTAAAAGAACAAAATTGTTACCCAATATGGTGATGGACCACCTTTGGCATCCAAGACAGACTGAATTCTCCTGGGAATTGACAAATATAAGCCTTGGATGGTGGATAATGAAATCTGATTCCACACTTCATGCAAAAATCGTTCCAGTTTTCACAAAGGGCAGAAAACGAGCCCAAACCTTGTTCTCCAAAATTGACCATAGTGGCTCTATGATACTGCGGCGCCCAGGGAAGGTGAGAGACATCCTCTGCATGCTCATCAAACCATGATTTGACAACACTAGCTGTGTAAATCGGAACATTACGGTCTCTTGAACTGGAGCGGTCTTTTGGAAACAATGTCTGCACCATGGGGTGCACATGGTTGGCCAAAATGTGTACATAGTCACGGTCAGTGGCTATCTTTCAAGGTGATGACGGAGCCTGCAAAGATATGGCTGCCCAAACTATGATTGTGCTGCCACTATGCTTTACTGTTGGCACAAGACAGTCCTGGTCATAAGCTTGGGACGGTGTTTGCCCATCTGGTGGTTGGGAACAGTGCGAAGCTCGATTCATCAGACCATATTACAGTCTTCCATTGATCGATAGCCCATGATTAATGGGCGTTGTACCACTCTCTCCTTTTGCATTAATATTTGTCACTAGTGGCTTGGCATTTGCAGCTCGCCCATGACGGTTTTGCTTATGGAGTTTTCTTCACACAGTTTTTGTGGACATGGACTTTGGAAGACAGAGATTGAGCTCTGCAGTCATTTTTGCAGCAGTTGTTTTCTTATTCAGGGTCTCAATGCTGCGCAATGTCCTTTAGGTCAGTTGAACCTGTCGACTGCACTTATGTTTATCAGACGACATTTTCCCAGAAACTGTATATGCCATCACAACCTTTGATACTGTACCTTGCGACACGGCAATAAATTGGCAACTTCTGTCACAGAGGCACCAGCTAAGCAATCACCAACAATTTGTCCTCTTTGAAGCTCAGTAAGCTCTGATGGGACTCCGTATTATTAGCAGCACATGCAATTAATGACGAAAGTGAGGCTTCCCACTTGTCAGCTAGATGTCTCATCACATAGCCGAAACAAAAGAATGTTACATCACTTTCGCTTTCAACGCAAATTATGTCATCAATGTCACACCTGCAAACCACTTAGTGTTTCCATATTTTTGTCCAACTCCTGCATCTTACCCAAGGCCAGTCTGTTCCTCTGTTACTGTACTTTGTATCTTACTACTGCTCTGTGCTGGTTTTCTAAGAAAAAAACATTCCTGTGTATTTTTGTACCCCATTAGATTGTAATCTTATTCTCATTATCCTTTTGTTTTTGTAAACCCTTACAAGTACACACAGTTTTATAGATTATAGCCCATTTTTTAAATCAAGGAGAATAATAAAGGAAAAATATACAATTTTCTTCTTGTAATCTCCATTTAACATACCCCAAGAAAGGTGTAACCAACTGCAGCAGCTCTGAACCAGATACCAGCTCCTGGTTAAATAGTGCAATGCATCGCAAAAAATTCTCATAGACTTCCTGGCTTTTTAGTACTCGGCGCACCTTAAAATAGAAAACAATGGAACCATTTTACTATAGGAAATTGGGCAACAGGTTACATGCAACAATTCATAATTAGCACAGAACTCAAAACATAAAAACAATGTTCACTGTGAAATCCATGCTGATGGAGCTGGTGGAACAGAAGTGATTTGGAAGAGTACCAATTAATTCCTATTCCACCAGGTCAATCGGCCTTGGTCTGGTGGAGTTGTTTACATAAGATGGCCTAGAAGGCAGCCAGGGCCTTGTATTGGCCAAGAATAAGAAAAAGCAGAACTTGTTTCCAAAGTAAGCCAACAGAAGGATGTGAAGAAAAATCACTTTCTTGGAGTGCATTGAGGGAAGCAAAAAGTATTCACCTTTAAGCTGTACTGGAAACTGGACAAAATATAAAAACAAACTGTAGGACAGCCTATCTAACTGCCAGAATGCCTCAATTTTGTAGCAAATATGTCTGAAGAGGGTAATCTTAAAAACACAGATGGGTGGGATCTGTGTCCATCAATTGACTCCATGAAAAGGATTTTACGGAAAGTAAAAAAATTCTGCTCTCTCATTCATTCAGGGATACAGGAAGTCTTTCACTATTGGAGACATCCAGAAGCAGTCCAGCTGAGGAGTGGACACTAAACAAGAAAATACAAAAAAACCAAAACAAAAAACTGAGAACTGGGGACTGCCTGCAGCTCAAAGATGCCTGTAGGACTTTATACCCAAAGTTGGCATCAAATGGGGCTGCAAAGTCTACCTAATACATATTAGAGAATGGAAACAGAAGACCAACTGGCAGCCTTGCAAATCTGCATAACAGTTGCTTGATGCTGAAAAGCAGCACTTGCAGATTTTGTAGAGTGTGCCACAATTGGGATTGGTGGAATCGATTCTTGAGACCATAAACCTATAACCTTGGATAATGGTCTGCGTAAGCCACTTAGAGACGGTGGGAATCAGAATCCAATGTACCATTACAGGGATCATCCCAAATAAAAAATAAAGAAGTTAGGTTTCCCTAAATAAGCAGTGGCTGAGGAACAGACTCTCAAATACATCCAGACAATGGATTGAAATTTCCCGTGAAGTGGAGCTGGACAGAGGTATGGAAGAACTATATTCTGACTGATGTGAAAGGTGGCAAGTACCTTAGACAAAAAGGAATTTCTGGACGTCAACATCACTTTACTTTCTTAATGCTCTTTGCGCTGAGAGCCAAATGCTGATCCAGGCCCTCCTTTAGAAAGGGGGAGGATTCATCCCATGGAGAAACTCAATGAAAACCCAGACACTTCAACCAAGTGAAGTAATATAGATCTTATGGGAAGTAGCATTCCTAACTTTAAGCAGCATAAGGATCACAGATTTAGAGATTCCCCCGTTTCTCAAAACCTGGGCTTCAGTAACTATGCCATTAAAGCAAGTGACAGACGCAGAATAGTAATTTGTCCTTGAGATCTGATGAGCCCAGGAGTCACATTCACCTGGGCCAAACCAAAGCAATGAGGATAACCAGAAAGTTATCAAAATCTATCCCGCTAAGCATATGTGGAAGAATCTTGAGGGGAGGAAAAGCATAGATCAGGGTGTACGGATCCCCACAGAGCCACCAAAGCATCCAATGCTTCTAATCTCTATATCTGGAAACAAACCTGTCCAGTTTCTTGCTGAACCTGGGGGCCAAGAGATCCACAATCAGCCTCTCCCACCAGCAACACAGTTTCCAGAACACCTTTGGGTGTCAAGACACCACTCCTCTGGGTCAAGGTGCTGTCCGCTGAGAAGTCTGCCTGTCAATTGTCCACACCTGGAATGTTCACAGCAGAGAGCAGGAGCGTAAAGTTCTGATTCACATCAAACAGAGGTCAGCAGATTCCCACTGACTAGCCCTGCTTTGTATTTTTTTTTCAGATGCAACTTTTCCTTTTGGGAGGTGCATATGGGTTGCAAGCACACAGCCTCTTCTTGTCAAATGCAGTGTTTTGCATTTGGACTTATACGTTTTAGCAGCACTGCATTTAAATGGAAAGGGCTGCGATTGAAATGAATGCTTTTCAACACAGGTCATTATATTAACTTTTTCATTACTCAAAAAACACTTGGTAATTGGTATCTACACTTGCCTTATTGAAGAAAGAGAATTCCTGTAGCGTCCCGTATTTGCCAACACTTGCCACTGACTGGTCCTTAGACTTTCTCATCTTCATCTTTTTCTATGTGACAAAAGCACAAGAGGCTACAGAAAGCTAATGTGACAATAACTCAACAGGCTTTATTTAGTGAATGCATGATTATTTACCTTAGACGGACAAGACATGGGGCGTAACAAAAGAGATCTGGATCGTTTTCGGCTTTGTTCTAGGTTTCTCTGGTAATCAAGCTTCCTGGCACTAAGATCACATGTACCGTTTCCAGTGAACTATAAAACAAAAACATAAGTTAATTTCATTAATTTCTGAGAGGTCTAAATTTTACATCAAACCACTACGGTTTAACCCTTTCACTGCCAGGTTTTTTTTTTTACTGCACACTCTTGGTGGCTGCAGCTAGTGGGATTGTGTGTAAATCTGCTGACAAGCCAACCTCTGGCCGTCAGATGCAAGATTACTTGCACACACACCCAGTTTGTGTGCCCCAAAATAACTTTGGTGCATTTTTTTTTACCTTTGTGGTGATATCGTGTGATATAATAAAATTGGAACTACAAGAAAATATATAATGTTTTGGGGGTTTGTGCAATCATCAGGCCTAAAAAATTATTTTTTTTTTAACATGTGGGGGGAAAAAAAAATAAAGGGTACAAAAAAACAGCCCTGGCAGCAATAAGCCTGGAAACAGTATTAAAAAAATGCTACTATATTAGTCAGGTAGAATATATAGCTGGTAAAGTATTGAAAACGTCACCATTTTTCTCAGTAAGTATATTTCTAAAGGGGTTATTGACATGAACTTTTTACCACGTCGGCAACAACTCATGTATTCCATACAAAGAAACCAAAACAAATCAGTACAGAAATTAAGTTATGTGTAATAAAATGAAATTACACAGGGAAAGCAAAAAAAAAAAAAAGAAAAAAAAAAAAAAAAAAAAAAAAAGGTATTGAACACAAAGAAAGGGAGGTACAAAAAGGCATGGAACGCCAAGACACCAGCTGAAATCTATCAGCAATTAGAAAGCAATCCTGCCCCTTGTCAGTGCAAATTAATATCAGCTGATTCATGGTGTCTCATTACCAAAGTGACACACAAGAATCATCTCATTAGTAAAAGCAAAAAGCTCTCTCAAGAGCTTTGCAACTTTATTGTTGTAAAATATATTGATAGGATTGGTTACAGAAGGTTTTCTAAACTTCTGAATGTTCCAGTGAGCGCTGTTGGAGCCATAATACGGAAGTGAAAAGAACATAATTTCACCATTAACCGGCCACAGCCAGGTGCTTCTCACAAAATTTTTGACAGAGGAGTGAAAAGAATCAGAAGAGTTGTCCAAGAGCCCAGGACCACTTGTGGAGAGCTTCAGAAAGACCTGGAATTAGCAGGTACAATTGTTTCAAAGAAAACAAGTTATGCACTCAACCGGAATGGCCTGTATGCATGCTCACCATGCAAGACTCTATTGCTGAAGAAAAAGCAGGTTGAAGCTCATTTAATGTTTGCTGCACAACATTTAGACAAGCCTGTGAAATACTGGGAGAATATAGTCTGGTCAGATGAGACCAAAATTGAACTCTTTGGATGCCATAATACACACCATGTTTGGAGGTCAAATGGAACACCCCAAAACAGTACTGGCAATCTTTATGTCATTGAAGGAAGAATGAATGCAAAAATATAACAAGACATTCTTGATAAAAATCTGTTGCCATCTACCAGGATGATGAAGATGAACCAAAACACAAAGCCAAGGAAACTCAATTGGTTTCAAAGAAAGAAAATAAAGCTGCTAGAATGACCCAGCCAATCCCCTGACTTGAATCCAATAGAAAATCTATGAAAAGAACTAAATATCAGAGTTCATAGATTTGAAGACTGTTTGTCTGGAAGACCGGGCCAAAAAAAACACACCTGAGCAATGCATGCGACTAATTTCTCCATACAGGAGGCGTATCGAAGCCGTCATTACCAAAAAAGGATTTTGTACAAAGTATTAAATCATTTTCAGTTAGCATTTTCAATACTCTTTCCCTGTGTCATTCCATTTTATTACACAAAACTTAAATTTCTGAACGTATGTGTTTTGTTTTCTTTGTATGTGTGGATTGCAAAGGTTGTTACCAACATGTGGTGAAAGTTCATGTCAATAGCACCTTTAGAAATATATTTACTGAGAAAAATGGTGATGTGTTCAATATTGATTTTACCCGCTGTACATTCATCCTGTAACAAACAGATAAAAATAATTCCCATACCAGTGATCTCTTTGCCTCAGGAAGGAACTGGCCAAATTCAGAAAGTAAATCTTCCTGTCCACGAAATAAGCTGGCCACTTCCGTGAACACCTCTTCCTCCGACATACCACGAAATGGGCGTCCTTTTGGATTTAGCTGATCCTTCTATAAAAGGAAATAAAAATAAATTGTAAAGACAAATGTTTACAATTAAATCAGTAGGTAAAATATACTTCTATTTTACAGTACATGGTAGAACAATAGACATTACTTATTGAATAATATTAGGATCCTGCCTTCCACCAAACACTATTCTTGACCTGGCCCATAAAAATCTGTGAAAGCTTCTTATAACATGTTCCTAAACAAATACATTTATCATAATTTCACATTCACTTTGATTGCAGCTAAAATGAGATTTACCAGAGGCTGCCTGCTGTTCCTCAAACTGCACAAAAGAAATAAACTGAAGAAACCTTACGACAAAAAATATCAAATACTAAAATGTAGTATATGGATAAAACCATTCCTTTACATGTAGAAAGGGGGTCTAAAGTCACCCCCCCCCCCTTTTCATATATGTATGCTTTTAGTTGTTAGGTTTACTACTGTATCACAGTTTTAAAACTCTTCTTTGCATTATACGTTTACAGGGAATCGGACACATTTGCACTCTACATACACAGTCTGTGCTTCCTGCCTTCATCGCCAGCAGTCTCTGCCATTACACCCAAACTTTGGATCCTAATGGCTAGAAAGGCAGCTTACCGCAGAGATAAACTAACAGGCATGTGCGAGATGGTGGAAGCAGCAGCCAAGTATTGACACTTCCAGAGGTATCAAAGATTTGTCCAAACAAAATGAACTGGAATTTGGACATAGTGGCAACCTGGGTTCACATCTGTGTGGGGCCGTTATGCAGGGCAATTTGCAAAAGTGTCCAGTGCAATTTCATTCAGTAGTTCAGATGCGATTACAATGTGAATTGTTAAAAGTGTATGACATTGGAAATCGTACCTGAACCAGGCTGAAAAATGTACCAAAGTTTTTTTTTTTTTTTTTTTTTAAATCTCACTGTGGCCAGCCCACACATATGTGAACTGGCTCCACAGAAAAGGATTTTGGTGCACGTGTCATGCGGATTGGATGCGGTTCAAAATGCATCCAATTTGCATATATGTCATTGGGTCACAGGGTGAAAACTCAATACAATAATAAGTGTCATTCCTTCAAAAAGCAGGAAGGGTCTTGCACACCATGCAGCAACTGGTTGCCTGTAGCATTTTCTTTAAGAATGTCACTTTAACTGCTGTATTTTAAAATATTGCTAGTATGGTCTACACTTTGCAGTTATAAGCAGTACAGCTTGAATTTTGAAGAGTAAATCTACTTCTCATATTGTTTTCTATATGCAAATTTCATGGGGGGGGGGGGGGTTTGTAGCAGAATGCCAGACTTAAAATAACTGTAAAATTGGGCCACCAGTTGAGACGGAACCGGCTGATATTAACTTGTTCCCACCCGGCCAATAGCAAAATGACAGCCAAGAGGGATGCTCATCAGTCCGGGGTGGGCGTCATATGTCATCCTCCAAGGCTCACCGGGAGATCCGTACACCGAGCCGTGCACCTCGGACATAGAACAACATATCTGAGTATCGGCCTGTTGCCAGTACTATGTGACCGCGGTGACCAATCACAGCAGGTCACACAATTGTAAACAATAGATGGCTTCCTTTCATGCAATCCATTGTATACAATTGTGTGTCACTAGCTGTGATTGGTCACAGTGATCACATATAGACCAATCACAGCCCATCTGTGTCATGTGATTAGCTGTGGCCAATCACAGCTAATCAAAAAAAAAAAAAAAAAACAGTGGTGATTAAAATACAACTGAACAAAATGATAAAAATCTAGTTTGGGTACAGCATTGTATGACCGTGCAATTGTCAGAGTGTGAAAAATTGGCCTGGGCAGGAAGGGGGTAAAAGTGCCCAAGATTGAAGTAGTTAATATGCACTGACAATTGCCCAGGATTGCTTTCTAATTACTGAGATTTCAGCTGGTGTCTTGGCGTTCAATGCCTATTTGCACCTTACTTTCTTCATGTGTTCAATACTTTTTCCTTGTGTCATTCCATTTTAATACACAAATTTCTGAACTTATTTGTTTTGGTTTCTTTGCATGTATGGATTGCATGGGTTGTTACTGACATGTTCTGAAAATTTCACCTAAAATGGCACCTTTAGAAATACACGCTCAAAAAAAAATTAAAGGAACACTGTTTAATCAGAGTATAGCATCAAGTCAATATAAAACTCCTGGGATATTGATCTGGTCAGTTAAGTAGCAGAGGGTGTTGCTAATCAGTTTCAGCTGCTTTGGTGTTAATGAAATTAACAACAGGTGCACTAGATGGACAACAATGAGACGATCCCCAAAACAAGAATGGTTTTACAGGTGGAGGCCACTGACAATTTTTTTTCCCCTACTCATCATTTCTGACTGTTTTTCACTAGTTTTGCATTTGGCTAGGGCCAGTGTCACTACTGGTAGCATGGGGCAATACCTGGACCCTACAGAGGTTGCACAGGCAGTCCATTGCCAGGTTTGCTGTGTCTCCCAGCACAGGCTCAAGAGCATGGAGGAGATTGCAGGGGACAGTCAGTTACTCTAGGAGAGCTGGGCAGGGCTGTAGAAGATCCTTAACCCATCAGCAGGACCGGTATCTTCTCCTTTGTGCAAGGAGGAGGAACAGGATGAGCACTGCCAGAGCCCTACTACAAAATGACCTCCAGCAGGCCGCTGGTGTGAATGTCTCTGACCAAACAATCAGAAACAGACTTCGTGAGGGTGGCCTGAGAGCCCAACATCCTCTAGTAGGCCCTGTGCTCACTGCCTGGCCCCATAGAGCTTGATTGACATTTGCCATTGAACACCAGAATTGGCAGGTCCACCACTGGCGCGCCCCTATGCTTTACACAGATGAGAGCAGGTTCACCCTGAGCACAAGTGACAAATGTGAAAGGGTTTGGAGAACGTTATGCTGCCTGTAACATTGTTCAGCATGACTGTTTTGGTGGTGGGTCAGTGATGGTCTGGGGAGCATATCCATGGACGGATGCACAGACCCTCTACAGGCTAGACAATAGCACCCTGTCATTAGGTATCGGGATGAAATCACTGGACCCACTGTCAGACCCATGCTAGTGCAATGGGTCCTGGATTCCTCCTGGTGCATGACAATGCCCGGCCTCATGTGGCGAGTGAGTATATAGGCAGTTCCTGGAGGATGAAGGAATTAATACCATTGAATGGCCCCCACACTCGCTTGACCTAAATCCAATAGAACACCTCTGGGATATTATTGTTTAGTCCATCCGAAGCTGCCAGGTTGCACCTCAGACTGTCCAGGAGCTCAGTGATTCCCTGGTCTAGATCTGGAGGAAATACCCCAGGACACCATCCGTTGTCTTATTAGGACCATGCCTCAACATTGCTAGGCATACATACAAGCATGTGGGGGCATACAAACTACTGAGTACCATTTTGAGTTGCTGCAATGATATATCAGCAAATTGGATTAGCCTGCTGCATCATTTTTAAATTTTGATTTTCGGGGGCGTCTTTGAATTCAGTCCTCTGCAGGTGATAATTTTCATTTCCATCAAACGATGGGCATCCTTACGTTTATAACACATTATCCAGTCCATATCAGTATAGATATCCAGCAAGATATTTTTTTCCCCATTAAGATCTGATGTGTTTTCAAAGCGTGTCTTTTTTTTTTTTTTGAGCTGTGTGTACGCACTCGTGGAATGGCGACAAATTATGATACTTAAAAAATCTCCATAGGCGATGCTTTAAAACTTTTATAGGTTACAAAGAGGTCTAGAGCTAGAATTCTTGCTCTCACTATAACATTTGCAGCAATACCTCACATGTGCGTTTACATATGTGTGTGACCTACATATGCGTTCACCTCTGTACACAAGTATGAGAGTGCTTTAAATTTTAATATTTTTATTTCTACTACAAACCACATGCCTGCTGCTATCAAGCAAGGTGTGCTGAAGCACAGTGCCATGGCTGTCTACTGAAGAAGGACAAAACATACAAACAGAAAAAAAAAAAAAAAAACAAGAGTCCCAAAAGATTCACAGAAAACAGAGAGTTACCAGTAAGTCTAACTCTGGCTTTCCCAACTCGTCTTGCAGGACACCACGTGAAATGATTATCAAGATTTTACCAGATTAGGATGATAAAAAGCCCAGAGACTTACTACTTCATATTAAATTCTCAACATAGAGATTAACTAAGGCAGGAGACCTATTTGTAGGGAAACGTCTAAGCCATACCAGAAAAAAGAGCTCAAAGTTACATAGAACTGAAAAAAAAAAAAAAAAAAAAATCAATATTAGTTGAAAGAGAACCAAACTCAAACAAGGCCCTGGTCAACTGAGAACATATAAATACCCCTAAGGCCCACATTCCCAATGTACAATGTAGAAAAAGACTGAAGAATTTTAATGACCCCTCTAGATTGTAAGCTCCAAGGAGCAGGGTCCTCCTAACCCTCTTGTATTGATCTGTATTGTTGCTGTATTGTCTCCCGTTATATTGTAAAGCGCTGAGCAAACTGTTGGCGCTATATAAATCCTGTATAATAATAATCTTAGATTGTAAGCTCCAAGGAGCAGGGCCCTCCTAACCCTCTTGTATTGAACTGTATTGTTGCTGTATTGTCTCCCGTTATATTGTAAAGCACTGAGCAAACTCTTGGTGCTATATAAATCCTGTATAATAATAATCTTAGATTGTAAGCTCCCAGGATCAGGCCCTCCTAACCCTCTTGTATTGATCTGTATTGTTGCTATATTGTCTCCCATTATATTGTAAAGCGCTGAGCAAACTGTTGGCGCTATAGAAATCCTGTATATTAATAATAATGCAAATAGTTTTGCTCATTGCTTTATGTAGAAAGCTGTATATGAGGAATTGAGTGCAAGCTGAAAGACTAGCCACAATAGACCATGCATAGATTGACTAGGTCTGAGCTATGCTGGGGATATAAACCCACACCCTATACAAAATATAAGAAGTGTCTGCTGCAGAAGCATACGTCCAGCGACTTTCCACCATCTACATGTATATGAATGTAAC